ATATTAAGTGGTTTTGTTGGCTTAATCAGGATGCTGTGTCCTTCCATTCCTCACACGTACACACCACGCACCATGTATGATCACTAAAGTAGACAGATAATCGATTATTTTTATCGGACGAAACAGTCACCATGTGAGAATTAGCCCACTTCATTATTCCACAAGCCGTATGTATATAACGACAGAGACTTCGGTGTTGTTGAGGCTGCTCTCAATTCCTCAACCACTGAGCCAGTTCTTAAAAACCTACCCACCGATAATAATCTCATCAAACAGATACAGTTGTATCAGCCAGTAATTCCATGATTTACGCATGACACAACTTCTTCCAGAATAAGAGAACTTCGCTCGCAGTATATACGTCAACCACATGTTTAGCTCATACTGTGCCAAGTTTCAAGTATGCCGCGTTCTTCGAATGGTGTTATAGTGAAGACCTGCATCAGTCGGCTTGTACACCAAAAGGGGAACGTGTGTGACGACCTCTCGTCAACGAAATAAATCAGGGTCGTATTATCAGGTTCCATGAGGTGCAATCTCATAAATCTACGGTTTTAGTAGATTGTAGGTCAGCATTACTATTTAAATACAAACAGCCCTTGTAAATAACATGAAGCATTTTTGCAGGTCATAATTACTGGTGTAACGATGTAACGATGAGGTCTATTTTCCGGTATCCAGACTCCGCCCGTATCTGTCAAAAGGTATAGATTCCTATGAAAATTATTTGCAGTGTACGTTTATAAATGATTAACGTTTAAAGAACGTCCAAGAAAGTTCAACAGGACCCTTGGTGATGTTCACTTTTCAAAACCTGTGCAGGTGAGATGTTTACTGTGGTGTCTAAAAGCTTGTAACCACTTGGTTCGTGTTTTATATTGAAGAATTTCGAAGTGAATGGCTTTTCTTCTCTCACTGGCATCAGATTCGGAAGCCGTAAGTCATAAAACATAAGTCTGTCTTGTAAACCCGTTTCCAGATAATCTTTAGAACGGTCAAAATCGTGAGTATTGCAAATTCATTAACCAGGTCTTCTGTTCAAAAAACGTCGATAAAAGCACACTGTACTGCCTGCAATGGGCACCATCTGCTCTCCGTGATCTCAACAAGTTTGGTGTTCCTTGAATGGAATCCACAGAGGTTTTTTATAAATTCGTCGCATTCCGGGTGACTCCACATCTAAGTAGTGATCGATGGGCTGGTTGCGTCATCATCGTCGATTCACATACAACGAGGTGCCACGCATGTGAAGACCCAAGCCTCGTGCAGATCATCGTCACCGTGCGCAGTAGCAACAAATCAGCGGCTGTCTTATCAGCAGCTCTGAATAACACGATGGTCCCCCCACCGAAAAGACTCCGCCTAAGAGAAAGCATCCCTATCTAAGAAGAATTCAAGATCCGTGTTGCACTACTCATAAGGCTGCTGAAACTTCTTCGATAGCCCACGACCGGTTTCGCCCTTCTTGGGGCATGGAGGCATCACAAAAGAGAGATTCAGCTAGGTTTCAGGTGAGTCTCTCGCAGAACCAAATTTGTTTGCAAATGAGTGTATTTCGCTAAGAATTCAATGTTTCCCTTGAACTTAGTTTCAAACTGATACCTACTGAGAAGTTTTATCAATCCTCCAACATAGAGTACTCCGAAAGTCCATAAGGAGTAACTTGTGTTCCTAACGAAGATCCTGACGCGAAACCCATGTTCCGTGGTTCTCTCATATGAATACACCGTTAAGCAGCTGAATATACACAGTACCAATAAAGCTAGTTTCAACGTGAATGAAGTTTACCATCGTGATTTTCGTTGCACTGATCCCTCAACAACAAACCACAGAGGACAGAGCAAAGTAGCTGCCTCCATCATCCGAAATTAAGTAGGTATACCAGTGTCTGTTGAGATAGCCTATAGAGATATAGAAGATCGTAATGTGGATCCTAAGTTGATGAACCTGGATGGTTTTGAAGTTAAGCTATGTGACACGTCCGTTTCACTCATTTTGGAATTTCTGGATTCATATAGGAGCCATTCGTTCTCGAACTTATCACCTCGTCATCCCCTAAAACACAATATGCGACACCTCTCGTCCTATGCACAATACGTACAAAGGATAACGGCGATTGTTACATCCCTTTAAATCGGTACCAATCCCCTGCAGAACACGAAGCGTCACTCTCAGAAAAGAACCATTCAATACACGATCCCCTGAATAAATATCACTCACTCTGGAACTCCGCCACTTTGTTTTAAAAAAAAGTGCCCAGAATACATTTGCTGATATGGATTACCTGGAGATATCTCACAAATTACTGATGGCGATGTTCTGCTTTGTTGTGGCGTTAACATCCATGATATGTGTCCCGAAAATTTGGAATGCAAATGTTAGTATCAGAAATTAGCACTAGCTACCTGTCAGTGTGAAATAAAAATGGAGAATCTGTTCACAAGGACACTGTCGAATGCGAACCGGGTCGCATCTCACCGCATATGCTTGTATTGCCCATTGTGTGTCCATGTGGGTGTCGTTCACCATCAAATACCAGTGTGTCATCAACGCACCACGAAATGGCTTGGCGACCGTTGGCCCATTTTTGCCATACCGAGATACTTTAGTCTTAGAGGCCTCATCGTGAACAACCCAGGGCAAACAAACTATCCATGTAAAGTGTAGCACCTTTCGACAATTGAGTCCTTTTGGATAAAGTCACAAATCACTTTACAGTGATTCTTACACACTTAGGAAGCACAATCCACAGTTCCACTGCAGCAAACGAGGATGCGCGTAAACAGGCTTGCACGATGAATCAAAGGCCAAATACCACAGTTTTTCCAAGAAAGGTCAGTTTCCCAAAATCAAAAGCTTTGACTTTGATCCCATGAGATTGTCCCTAAAAATGGACGCCTCTTAAAAGGCCACCTCATCGTTTGCAAACAAAAACCGTCAGCAAAATTCCAGTGATGCGAAACGCTATTTCAGAGAAGACCAAGATGTGAAGTTTGTGCACTGGTCTCTTACCCATTTTTGGAGAAAAAATGTATACTTATGAATAAGAACATCCCGCTCAATAGTTGAGTCCAATTACATGATTTTTAACTGAATGGCACATAAACACCACGATTCTTCTCCATGCAAATATTCCCTCATTTAAAGACCACTCCCACTTTGTCTCTTGCTAATCTTTCGAATAGTCAGGTCCATCAGACGGAAAATTATATCATCTTTGGCACATCCCTGCAGGTAAAATTCGGTGTTGAAACAGCTATCTCGCACCTTCCTCTAAAGAGGCCTCTTGGAAAGGTCACTTAGAAAAGTTGCCTCCCTACTGTCTGTCTCTTTAAAAAATAGCCGTTCACTTGCTCTCCAGAGAGGGGTTAGTTCGAAAGATCAGGAGAACGTCATCTCCTGCCCTCTTTTCTCAGAGAGCATTTATTATTACTGATATTTTAAGGACAAAAAGTAGTTTTGTTAGTGCCGGTTACCACAGAAACGGACAACTAGCACCTGACAACCATGGCTTCAACCGCTGAAGACCGCTGAAGAACAGAGCATCAAACTAGAACACAAATCACATGCTAACCGTTTAATATAATTTTATAGACTTACGGAACTACTCAGCTTTTCGCCGTCTCTTCCTCAAGGCTATATGAAACTCGAGTATCGGCATTTTTTGCTGAAGTAGTGTGCTTGCTGGAGATTCTGTCTCCAATAAAGTATGAGGAATATTTTTTAACAAGTGCGCCACGATTACAGACTACAGGATGAATATTGACGTCCTAATGTGGGAGTTACATTGGTAACTTGTATATTAAGCACTCAAGCTGCAATATTGGGCTGACTTTACCAAGCCTAAAAACATAAGTAGTAAGTCTATTCAAATTCCGCGTAGTTTTGCTGGCCCTGCCTGCCAGAAACAATACTTCGAATCAGAATTTGATAATAATGATCCGAAATCGTTCCTCCTCCGAGGAAAGAGACAACACGTTTGAAGTGCTGACCGAACGTTTCAGTCAGATTACGACGAATGAACACTGTATTTGAGTTTGTTCCTTATGTGGATAAACCTTTGTTTGGCAATCAAGAGCATGTGACACGAATGTGTCCAGAATGTTAGGTATGGTTATGTGGATTTGATTAACTATCTTACAGTTTAATGACAATGACATTCAATCCGTAATTTCACATACCGAGCGAAAAAGATGCACGTAATCAAGGGACTTACACTTGGAGAGTAGTGGTTAAATTATACAAAAATCTCTCCTCGTTCCTTTTATTGATGGAATATTTGTGTAAAATTTTCAGGATGAGGGACAGCAGCCAATGCGGAGGCGCGCATAAAAGGAGTGGAGCCCGGCTCGATACGAATTGCGTAACTATGACCATTAAACCACCCGATTCCGGTATTTCATTCTATCTCCTGTGTGCCAAAATTCCTGCGGTTACTTACAACCCACCATTTTCACTTAATGTTGCATAAAATTGCGTGCATTCTTCGATCACTCTTATCTCGAATTTATAGATCATTTTATAGCAACACGTAAAACCATTTAACGGGGCAACGAATTGTTCCACTCTCCCATTTCGCAAAATTATTTTGCGTAGAATCCTCAGTAAAATGTTAGACCTTACTACCATCGATGTGGGCGTCTGACCGCAGGTTGAACGTACCTGCCGAAGTAAAAAATTGTCTTTAACGATGATCTATCATTACATGACATTAATTATTGGTGAGTGTTCACAAGGAAAGAGTTCAAAATGACATTTCTGACTGATACGTCTGAGCTGGTTGGAGACCAGATTTTCGACAGCACTATTTCTATTGCTACGCCATCCCGGTTCTCCAGTGCAGAGACAACCAGAGAGCAGCCTTCATCTTTCACCAGTTTGCTTTCCAAGAATAATATTTTCAAAAGTCAACTTCAGACAAAATCGTAGGACCGAAAAGCGAGAGTAAATGAGAATTCACTGTGCACGACTACTGAACACCATATACAAGCCAAAATTGCCAAGCCACAAACCAGCAACGCATCCTCAATAAGTGGATTTTTATTTGCAACAAAGTCAACACAATGTAATCGCAGAGTACAAAATGCCATATGACGTTCCCGAAGCTGATTACCATGTTGGCCTGGAAGCTAAATCAACATTCTAATCTCACTTCGGGTTTCATGTCACGCTGTTGTTTTGGAAATTTGGGAGTCCAGTACTTAACACCAGTTGCCGGACTTAGCATGACTGACTTGCCATCGCGGTCAGATAAGATAAGATCGGCAGCTCGCTCGGCCATCATTATGACCGGGGCATTCAGGTTACCTGAGATGATGGACGGCATGATGCTGGCATCGACAACTCGTAAACCGTCTAATCCCCAGACTTTACAATCAGGGCGGGTAACCGCAGCTTCCACAATGCCGTTGCCAAGGTAGCCACGTTGCTGAATATCTTGCTCAGTAACAGGTCGGCCCTCAGGGTTGAGACCCATTCGGCAAGTGCACGACGGATGATATGCACTATCAGCTAGTTCCCGGACAAACTTATCGAGTTCAGCATTAGTCTTCTTCTCTGAACCTGGTCTTATTTCGTAACCACCAAACCGCTTCGCAAGACTTGGTTGAGCAAATATCTCCCGCGACAAGCGTATGCATCTGCGCATGTCTTCGCGATCACTTTCGCATGACATATAGTTCGGATCGATCTTTGGGGGTGCCTTCGGATCAGCAGATACAAGCAACAGCTGGCCAGTACCGCGCGGTCGCATTGGGCCAACGTGCACCTGTAAAAGTCATAGGTATTTATGTGGGTGATTCGCTTAAATCTTCAACAAAAAAGCTTACAGACACTATTTAATGTGCCTACAAATTTAAAGAAGGAATTTACATCTCCACACAAGTGTCCTTCAGTCAGGAAAATACGCTTCGAGGCAGACTGTACCTACTGGAACCTGAAGCTTTCTCAGTATGATAGTCGAACTCCTGTTACTTCTTTCTGCCCATCGAAGTTGCTCCAAATGATTAGAAGCTGTCGTATGCGACCAATCACCTCCAGAATCCTCAAAGTGCTCATGGCTTTCTCTTCCTACCAAAGTGAGCAGAAAAAGCCTTGCATATGTACCACTGATGAAACTATTTGGTCCGCTATCCAGCATCTACTAAACAAAACAGGAGGAAACAAGTAGTATGAGCAAGTTTATACTCTTAATGAGGTGAGGATGAAGGGAAGGAATGAGATAGCAGCCTGAACCTCGGTAGAACAAGTCCTGGCCGAACCTTTACGGAGTATCTCAACCTGCTATGAGAGGGAATCATAGCATTGTCAGTATATTATATGACTAATGGCGAAATGATCATTAATAGCTCAAAAACGAAGCTGGAATATGGTTTTCACAAGTCAGCTTACTTAAGCAGTATCTCAAAATAGAAACAATAACAATTTTTCTCAACCCAACTTATCTAATCCTAAATCTGGTGCGATCGATGAACAATAGGGTGATTTGAATCTTGTGGATGCAGGCAGAGTGCTTCCTTTTGAACAGAAGACAGCAGAAAGACTCTGTAGTCACTTTTGGTAGCTGCTGGTTAACAAGCTGATAAAATTGTTAGGTATTTGTCTAACATAGCAGATAATTCAGAACTAGTGGGAGTATTTTTTAACAAACCACATTGTATGATACCGTTGCTCGAGTTACATCTTAAGATGTCTCTAGGTGCAATTGTGTCCAAATAAAGCAATCATTCGCGCAAATAAACGTTGTAGTGTATGCTTGTTCCAATTATTCTCTGACCGATGTAGTAAAATTACCTGTCAGCTACTTTAAATGAGTGATCACAACAAAATTATTGAATGGGAGCTTCAGCGTTACTCGTGGTAGTTCTGTCGTTGTTAGCTAATTCACCGGGAAGAAAAATATCAGGTGGACATTTCGAAATAAAATTCAGCTCTGTGACTGAATCCAAAAGGTGATCATCAGAATGTGTTGCACCAGGCGTTTCATTCATTGACTACGACTGACTGAATCCCCAGTGACGGTTTGTACCCATTTATCGAACTTCTCAGGCTTCAACTTTTTGCAAGTATGCATCAAATGCTCCAGTAGATATGCGGACAGGTAAATGTAGTAAAGCACAGTTAGGTTCGACAAAGCAACCCGATGGAAGGTGGGTGGGTGCTTGACGGATCAAGCACGCACATACGCTATTAGACCGAGAGGACGCATAAAAAGATGGGTGGTTTGTCAGGTCCTATCTAACCTTCTACACTTAGGTCAGACACTGTGCACGTCATTCGCCACACAAATGCACATAAATGATCAACCACCAATGCGCACATCAAATTAAACTGCGCGATATTTGACAGCATATTTTCCATGGCTTATTAATGAAATTTCGAATGAACATCGCCTCCGTGGTTGACAAGACAGGTGTCTTGCTTTCATACTACCTCAAAAGCAAAAGTGCGGTTACGCAGTGCGATAAATACCTCATTCCAGTTGGGTTAAAACGAACTGTCGAGGCATTTAGTTGAACACTAAAGTGAGTAAATTAAAGGCACGGTGTGTGGCTTGAGGTCTTCAGCGAAATGCCTGAATAAAGCCCATGAAAGTTATGGTGCTATATCTTTGCACTGACACCCGAATCAAATGGTTGAACAGTTGATTATAGCGAAGTGTATGTACCTTCTGAGGGATATCATAGTAACTTAGGTTGAACCTAAAAAGCACCATTTTTCCAAGGGAAACTTCTTCACTCCATGATGGAGTACAGATCTGATGAGATTCTGTTCCCAAAGCGTAGTATAGGTTGCGCAATAGATTTCCATCCCCGTCGAACGGTATGTCTGCCTAGTCAATCACTAACTATACCAGGCAAATGCATTTGAGATCTGTACTCTTAAGCACTAGCAGGGTGGCCCAGCATTCCATTTAATAGATGCATTATTAGTATACTGACATAAAAAAGTGGTTGGCTAGCCAAAATGCACTACCTGATATGCATGCCGTTCGCCCATTTTTCTCCCATGATCGTGAATGGTAGAGGGAAGGAAGTGAAACTGTATGTCTGGATGATCCACGTTTGGGCTGCTTCGAACAAATCCACCTGTTTCCAGATGACTGGTTGCTCCCCATCCAGTGTGAGTGAGGAACCATCTCAGCCCTATCCCAATCATGACGTGGGGATATTTCCATTGGGCTTTGTATAGAGTGATGGGCTGTGGTTCAGAAATCAAAGTACGTTCAGTTAGTATTGCTTTACAACATGGAGAGATGTCTCTGAATGGAATTTCTCAGCGCTTGCGGAAACCTGCCGCAAAAGCATAAAATTCCAGAACACGCAATTCAAGTTCAGGGAGTTTGAAATGTGAACACCACTGGAATAAAAAATTGCATCTTCTGAGAGCTTGCATTTCTGCGATACATTGAATAAACTTTGGGGCCCTCAAAATCCTGCTGTGTTATCCTGCTTCAAAAGTGACTTTAGATTTTCAAGACAGCACCATATTCACCTAATAAAACTGCTTTTTATATTTTTTTCAAAGTAAGCTTCTTTATCTAAAGTGACAGGTTCATAAAATCTTCAGGCTTTATAACTTGTTAAAACGGTCAAAATCCGAGAAATCGATGGAAAGGTGCTTATTTATAGACGCCTCTTAAATGGATGAAATGGAAGCACAAAGTTCGATGAATGATGTCAGTCAGACAGGAATACAGAACACAGCAGCGGTATCCACCAATATCCGCTCCCTACAGCGATGCAGAAATATCTGAATATCTAACCCACTACCATAGTAGTAATCATTTTATCATTATTTTTACTGAAGTGTTTGGTGGACGTTCATTGTGGTAGTGCGATTTGTTATTTAGGAGGCTTTCACCTGCCTCATCCTGGCCAAATTCCATGGCAGACAGAAATAGTGTCCTGACAAACATGAAAAGATCATGGTTTTTTCTCAAACATGTCCTTCATGAATTCTGCTTGTCTAACAACGCTGTCTAGGTCTGTACTGTAAACCCTGATAGTTAAGTAAAGTAGTAAACGGTTTTCCGGGATCCAAATATTGCGTCTAGCGTTTAGCTTTTAGCACCTGAGCAACATCTTCCTTGCATTGTATGGTGACCCAAACGGGGTTCACTACTTTATTCACCATAAGGCCTTGTCTTTGCATTGCTGTGAATGCCTCTATGGGACATGACACGCAACCAAGTGGTTTGATCGTAAAGATTGCCAGAATCCTATTCAAAATCAGATCCTTTCTTTGGTTCCTCTGTCATTGTGTTTTATCCGTTGGTTCCAAAAAAACAGAATTCTTTTAGGTAATTAGCCTTGGAATCATAGAAAGGATTGCTTCTTATAGGATAAAATCCGTCTACTGAGGACTTTGTTTCTAGACACACGTAATTACAAATGCATATCATTTAGGATTGATTCAGTTGAGTCTCTCATAAACACTCACATAAATCGAAAATGACGCATTTCGCAAGCTTCACTCCTCATTTGATGAACTAGCTTAGAAAGCGAATAGAAGCGATATAAAGGGTCAGGAAGGGATTTGGTGTTACAACTTTGATACATACAAGAAAATTTAAATTTTGGCCCCAAAAGTCATAATCAAGGGTGAGCCCGAGTATTTCTTGATGTCTGATGTACAAACATGGCTGTGATGTTAGCGGACACATCACGTCGACAAAAATATGCAGTGTGTTGTTTCTCGTTTCTCGTTACCATGCGTTTATCAAAAGCATAGGTTATTGTCTGTAGTGCTGAATCACAGCTGCATACTTCTTATGCTTAGAAGGGGTTACGTTGTTAGCATGCAGGACAAAAAGCAGGAAATTAAAGGCTATGTAACCTCAAGTAGTTGAATAAAACTGGAATCCTGTCGTAACAATCCAACCAGCGTTTCGGCATGAGAAAAAGTTCAAAAGAAACCACAGCGAGTAGAACCAATACGAGCCTTCAGCTATTAAGTCCCTTGCAGTTAAGTCTTCTCCACCAACTTCGTGTATGAATGACCATGATCTGTATAAAGGCCAGCATTAAAACGTGTTTTAGGTAGTGAGTGTATGAGCTGACGCGCGCAGATATTTTCACTGAGTTTTCTGAAATTTCGATAACCGTTTTAAATATACACGTCAATATCACATCCAAAATATTGCTACGCAAGCACTGAATGCCGTAATATTTTGAAAGACCTCTTGAGATCCAGGAACGGTTGAACATACCGAAACCGTAAGCGGCACTTGGGTCAACCCAGCCTCAAACAACTGAAAACCTGCAAAACTTTTGAGTCCAAGTGGTTGCAACAAATAACTTACCTCATCACAAGCGTTCTGCACGTAAACCTCGAGATGGTCCTGTAGATTCTGCCCTACTCCTGGAAGTTGGTGCCATGCGTCGATACCAATCGAGCGTAAATAGTCCACATGTCCAATACCGGACAGCATGAGCAACTGGGGAGAATTGATTGCACCTCCAGACAATATGACCTCACGTTCTGCTCTAGTCTATGGACAAAATACGACGATAAATATAATAACGGGTGATACTGCTTGCCATAAAGATATCGCTTGAGTTAGTATAATAAAAATAAACGAACATAGGACCCATGTTGTGTGCGCAAAATGTTTTATTTTGGTCTTTCTTTATAGCCGTACAGGCTCGTGAGTTGAATTGCTGTGCTCCCAACTGAAGGAGGAAGTCATCTGGAGTTGCCAAGAAAGGTCTGAGGTAGCTAAAAGCGCTTAAAGCTTGACATCTTTCCTTGCATTACAAACTATTGCAATGAAACTATTGTGATCTTGTCATGCAGAAGCGTGACCTTATTTTTCAGAGATCTTCGAGCGAGTGTAGGTTCAAAGATGGATCACTGCTGACACCAAACTAAACTGCACCTTTTCCAGGAGTTACTACAGTACAGAAAGTGTGTGATATCTTAAACCCGCCAACTCCGATTTCACTCGGTTTAAATCAAATGTCTCACTCAAAATCTGAGTCGGACATATGCTCTGCAAACCGGGCTATTAAGGATGCTTGCATCACTTGACATTCAGTAGCGTATCTATCGGGTGGACGAGAGGTCGTACGTTCGACCCTAGTTCTCGCGTATTTTTTACTTCTTACTGTAAGTACTTGGGTTCATCTACTCACCCTCCTATAAAAGCCTGAGTTGGATCTTAAAGGGACACACCAGCCAAACCGGTATTTCCTCATGCGCACACTCACTGGAAAATCAAAGTTTCATAATATTGATAAGTTATTCATTATCTTAACCAAGATTCAGTTATTCATGCTAGTTGTAGGATATCCTAAAATGTTTCTCTCAGCTGAACACAGGTTTTTATAAATTTTGTTTTATTGGGAGAATCTATGACAGTTCGGCCATCAAAATAGGCTATCATCCAGCTGTTTGCATCCAGAAGAAACATGGCTAAAAAGCCTACTGACAAAAAATATATTTCTACCCTGTAAGAAGACATATTTGAATGAATCCAACTGTTCTTTCTTATGGTGACAGGCATAAAGTCCGTTACTGCTCAGCCAGTCAAAAGATTAGGCACACATTTGACGGTTATATTACGTTCTGGTGCCAATGTCGTGGGTACCAAACGATGACTTGAGGAAAGTGCGTAAATTCGAATTAAAGCACACACAGCCACTACCTGAATAAATCATTTAGCATATGCCTGATTAACAGGAAGAACGCTGCTTCACGAATCAGGCGTATCAGGGGTTCACAAATTATTTGATCTGTATAGAGATAAAAAAAATCAATTTCTTTTTGGCACCACCCGAAGTTTCTATTATTTCAAGAAAATCCGTCATACAAGCACCATTGAATGGTCAGAATTAAGTATAAAATACCAGTTGCCGTGATATTTGTCCCTGAGGAAACCCAAACTTGCACTGTCCAGCAACAGTCCCCCAACATCCAGACCCTTCCAAAAACCTGGCACGTTTAATGGGCCCCGTCAAATTTTCCTTAAGATACTTCCCCAAAAAGTAAGTGAAAACGCTGCATATTGCTAATAAGCCACAAATAAACTTGCAAGCTGCGCTTTGCATGTTATTTTATCTAACCCTTAAAGCGGTTCGTACCATTTTAGGAAAAACGGCAAAACTTTTTTCAGAAAAAGATGACTAGGGTCTGTCTAGTATCCAGCCTATGCTTTGCCTCGCACTGTGTAAGTCCGTGCTGCAGGATGCACAAATGCCGAACGGACCCATCGCAAATAAGGAGAAACAATGAGAAGCTCTAAATATCTCAAAGACCCCGTTAGCTGTGATAGTTATATAGAACACAGTGGAATCCGCTGTAAGAACTCCACAGGCCAGAAGCACAATAGGTAACCCGCCACTCAAACTACAGCACAGACTGTGTTGTCTTAAGATTGTGATGGTTTCTGTGGTTGGGGGATTTGAAGTGGCTTGAAGTCCTCAAAACTTATCGGTATAGGCTGGTGCAAATAAATTCGAAAGGATCCTATCAGTAAATACATATTCGGGAATCCGCAGTAATGCGCACGATTACTATGAATTTCCACTCGACGCAACAGAGCAACGGACAAACTGTGACTCACAGTCATCCGTGAGTTTTCACGGACGTATTTATGTGTGCGGTTCAGATATCATTCAAGTCTTGATACGAAAATTGGCAAACCCTGCAACGATGTGAATTTCACCTGCCTAGGAACTTGAAAAAAAGACCGCTATATAGTATACAATATTATACAACTTTTTACAGCATTCCAGGTAAAGTAGTAATATACAATGCAGAATACCATACTAATCGTCAGCCCCACAAAAAATGGTCTCAACGCGTAAACACGGCGGTTGTATGCTCAAAAAACAACCAGTAATTAGACCAACCGCGTGCCTCAAACCGTAAAGGCGGACGCAGCCCTTTGATCAATCAAATGATGTCTCCAAAACGGCAGTCCTTTGTTTGTACTATTTTTCCTATTTATTTGCAATTCGGACAATTCCACTCCTGAATGAGGTCATCCGCGGCGGTTGCGACATCAATGGACAAAACTCGGTTTATATCACTGTTATTATCCAACAAAAATATTCTGTATCTGTTGGAAGCTTCTTCTTGAGAAGAGTTAGTTCATGGTCAACTTTATGATAGACAGCTGCACATTTTAAATAGTCTGGTTTCGTTTGCTTTGATAGACCTACCTCGTATAATGAGCCATCCTGGAGATATTCCACACCAACGGCACGAGTGCCTTCGAATAGTATGCGCGTAACTAGTGCTTTCGTAGTAATCTTCAGGTTTGGCCGTGAGTGTTTGATCGGATGAAGATAGGCAGTGGCAGCTGAACAGCGTTGACCATCCTTAATTGTCATGTCAAAATATCCAACGCCCTCCTAGAAAGATAGGAAAGACCTTGCAAGGTAAGCGTGAACTTACATGCGCCACTTAAAAAAGTATGACAGTTGGTAGCCCGGAAGACTGGGGTGAAAGTAAGAAACGCTATGATTGCGTAGTCGGCAAGTTTCAATCCCATTATTGCTGGTTTTCGAATAGGCAAGAAAGTTAAAGAATCATTCCCAAATACCGGGTCTTACAAAAGGGAACTCAATATGCACATTTGGTAGCAAACAACGCGTGACATACAGTAAGTAGGAATCTAGTTTTGGTGCGCCATCGAAGCTTCGTTGGATGAATTCACCTATATGACTTTAATTCTACTGACTAACAATATCCACAACTAAAAATTTAGTTACTTCAGGAAGGTTATTTCGTTCGTCTTTCCCTGCTTCGATGGGCAGGAGAATTTATGCAGTAACCGGGAGTCGGTCAAATTCAAGCCGCCCAGTTTACCACACTAATTTTCACAGATGGGTGATGTTGCATTTTGACCGCCCAGGTACACAAGGAATCAGGGAAAGTTTGAACATGACGTGAGAGCTGGTTAGCCCCCCATTTACGATGGACGAGATGCAAGCAGATAAAAATGACATACCACCTGACTACTCGTGAGTAGTTTCAATAGGATGGAATTTCGCTTACGAATCTACCCCGAGTGGCCTACTTCAGGGTGGGACGGAAAGCATGCTAAACCCATGTGCTTGCAAATTCGGGCCCCCACTCTTTGAACTTGATGTTGCAATGTCTTTAACCCCTCTTCTTCTTGTCCTATTGACGGCACAGTTCAACTACTAGGATCACACGTATTTTGTGAAAACGTATCTAGATTCGGAGGAGGGAATAAATATTTTGCATCTCGTAACCACCTCTTTCAGAGGTTACGACGATTTTACTGATAAAGTAAGGAGCTCTTGACCCACCAACTGCCCGAATCGTACCATCGTTTGTCAACAACAAGCTTTGACTCAATTGAGAGAACTGCAAATATAGTTGTTCAGAGTTAGTCAAAAAGATTCAGCTAGACAACGCAATCGTCACCAACTGCACAGTTGATGCAGAACACCCGGAATCTGCTCACCACCATACCGCAGTGCATCCCTCAACAAATGTCTGTTACTGCGACACAGCTCACTACCTATGAGATTGCTGAAGACTACTGGACAGCCCACAACCGGTTTCGCCTAATTGGAGCTCGTTAGGTGGGCACAATCGTCGTGTTTCTGCCAACCTTGTGTTCCGCTTAGACCCGAGTTGGACACATTTCGTGGAATACACTCATGCACACAATATGGATGTAGCGAAAGACTCTAGTGAACCCCATTGGAACGCATTTTTACGTTATTCTTCGACTGAGAGTGTTAAGCAAAGGCTGTATTGCGTTTCGACTGGTGCGATCTCCGAACTAACGCAATGTTTTCTCGACGGAACATTACTTATTGGGCTTTTGAATACTGACAACTAAAAACCGGTTTTTCCCTAACTTGGGCTCATCCGGGCTCATCCCCAGGTTTACTTCCACCTCAAGTAATGCTTGAACACAAAGTATCGGATAACTGGCAAATTAAACGCAGCTGAAAATGCAGTTGTTGTTGACGAAAAACTCCGGTGAATCTAAATGAGTTAAGCAAAAAACATCCAACGATTTAACTGACACGGAATTGGAGGTATCACAGTATGTAATAAAATTAAATATACTTATTATTCTATATAAGTGAAATATATACATGTATATATATGCGTATGTAAATTTAACTTTGGGAGAAGTCCCCACACACAGTCGCAAAATCTTCCCCAGTTTTTGGACTTTGGCTTTCATATCCTCCAATAGAAACGCCCATGTTTTTTGCGTAAAAGCATATACGGAAGCCCTTGTTCTCCTTCAAGCTGTGGCAGGCTAACAGCAGATAACACTACGCGATTACGCATTCACTTAAATATGACGTTTGGTTTGACGCAGATAGCGGATTTTCTCCATTCGACACTTCGTTTTATCTTTATGTCTATTTAACACTAGACCAGCTAGCATAGAAATCCAAAAAGGTAGAAAAACAGAGTCAGATTTGTTTTGATAACCCATGAATCGATGACCAATATTCATACAAATCAGCCTAAAATAAAGAAACATGGAAGGGAGTTCCGCCAGGCTTTAATGTACTGGTCCCAGTCCCTGAAACGTTGCCTCGCCAGAAAGGAAGCAAGGATTCAAAAAAAGGAAACAAGGAGCCCCGAATTTGAAACAAAAACTGTATTCTTGAGGTAAAAGCAGCTGAGGACATCAACGATCACGTATAGTTTTGTGATGTAGTTTCTTCAAATAGGGTTATCAAACGCAGGTTAAATACGCTTTTAGCTATTCACTAGACAGATGGGCGCGCACAAACGTAGCATTCGGTACTTATTTCAAATGCCATAATTTGCCCCCTGAAGGCCCCTTTCATCTAGGTCCAGTTACGGCAAAAAAAACACACTCTTTGAAGCAACTGCATAGACTGTCAGCGACCTGACCAACACCGTACGAATCACACCAGTACTCGTAATATTCCATACGAGTCAAATAGGTCTCTTTTCTCCCATACCACAAATTAGCTTCAGGTGCATTGCAAAAATGAAAACCCTGCGCATAACAGTAAGGCATATGTCAATTTACCGACAAGAGTGAATGAAATGGAGGTGGACCGATATAGCCCTGTTTCGCCACAAATGTTGGAACAAGGCGAAAGGGTTTTTTCAATGCAACCATATACTCTTGAAGTGAAACTTTTATAAAACGTAGCTTTTTCCAAAATTCGGTTCCAGATTGAATAAATTATTGAATACACTTTTTGTGTGTACATAAAAGCGAGGTTTTTTCAGAAACTAGCGCCATACTGGATGCGGTAAAGTGCATAAGCAGTCCTCTCATTTCAGTTACGAAAATGAGAACAACTCCAGTGAGTGTCAATGCTGGCAGCGAGCTGAAGACGAAAGTCCCCTTAGCCTTGGGCAGATAGAACACTGTGTGTTGATAACGATAATGAGGATTTTCACCTTATTTAGGCAATTTATCACAGCGGCCGCGGACAAATCAGTGTTCAGCAGCGTTACTTATGGACCCAATTAAATCCATACATACTGTTAAACAATCTGCTAGCGAACACCTCAGCTACAAAACCCGTTTCAATTTTCAAGCTCATATTTCCTATGTCGACTGCGGTAAATCTGTCTGGTACATGCCTTAGTACCTGCAACTGAGAATTAAGCCGTTATTTTAAGGAACGCACTTGTTGATAACCGTTAACGTCCTCAGTAAAGTGATATCCTGACTCTTGACCAGCTTTCAACCAAGCCTCATGAAGAGGGTGATTGGTCTTCCCCCGAGACACGTACAAGGGTCCACTTCCACCGCGATATTCGTCACCACCAAGTTCATGGGTCTGTGAACGCCGAAAATACGGCAGGCAGTTCCCAAAATTCCATCCTGTAAAATAAATTTTCAATGTTGATAGAAGCCGAATGGAATATCTTTTGAAACGGACTTGTGAATATTATGTATGCACTAGAGAGTTTTCGAAAAGTTCCGGCGTAAAATATCGTATGCATTATTAGATGTCACAAAGTTTTTCAAGCATTCCCGTAATGACCTTGGCAAGGAAGTTAATGGACACAAGAGCTGCTATACTAATTTAATCGACGGTTCACTGAAGCACACTATTCTCAGCCACTCTCCTAGAAAATAAACACGTCTCTGACTCCCGACTGATATCACTGAGTCAAGTTGAAGGGGTCCGATAGCACACACAAAAAAATAAACCTTGGGAAATGATGCCCATTGGAATTCATAACCAAAATATACACGTGGCAAAACGGTGATCATCCTGTTCGATATCGCTTGTTCGATTGCGATTTTTTCACAGACAATTAGGGGCATGTGATCGAAGAACGGAGAAAAATGGTTGAAAAATAATCAAAAAACCGTTTTGACTTCGTGATTCGTCTAAGGAACCAACAGACGGGCAAGGTGAAACTTCGGGTTCTTTTACAACCATCCATCTTTTACATCCATCTTCACTTCTAACCCTAAAGCAAGGAAAACTGAACACGCATTTTCCTGTAAGTTTGTCAAAGTTCTGAGTCGTATCCAGCTGGAGATCCAAGGTCAGTTCTACCCCCACCCCTTTCCACTGAACACTTGGAAATAATGTCATTCATGCGAACCGTTGTCAGCACTTAGTGAACATCCGTATGTGTTCCGGCTACTACAGCCAATAACTTAACTAACTCTTAGCCCAAAAGCAACGCATTTTAAAATGTAGCCGAAAAGCTGGTCTTTTCATCGTTGCCTCTTAGGTTAGGCCATGAATCGTCACACGCTACTAGTTAGATCATCTGTGTTTAACAGTCTGCATGCCATTCAACCACATTTGAAAAGGGCATAGTTACCTGGTGCGATAGATGCAACTTGATCCATGAATTCGACTGGATCCATGTATTCAGATGCATTGGCAGACTTACGTAGCATACAAGCAGTACATGCATGTAAAGCAGAGATTATATAACTTTTGGACAGTGAAAAGTAGGCTGAGTTGTCCTCGACTCTGGCCAAAAAGCACTAATGTGCCTAGAAGTCTTTTTTATCAGTCTGTGCATGAACCCCACACTTCCAGTCATTGTTGATGGCCAGGTTGGCTCAACCAGGCAGCCTTGCCAAAATTATCCGTTTCTACGTTGTATTTCGCTCAACTCTGGTGAAACTCGTAGTATTTCGATGATGAGGGGCGAACGAATTACATATCCTGATAATTAATTCTGTCACTATTTGCTCCCCCTCCCCCGCTTTCGGGAAGTCAAATGTGTTTCTTTCAACTAGCTGGCGCATACCTTTTACTAAACAAAACCGAAGCTTTTCGATTTTTTCACCTAATCGCCACCATTTCCGGTGAAAGTCAAGCCAGTCTTTCCGAATAGAGGCCTGCACCTGAAACTTGTATAACAGCACTCCCTGTCAGATATGATAGCCCCAAAAATAAGCCATTCCCAGAACGAACCCAATACTATCCTCTAAATACATGACTGCTGTTTGGAGATCACTGCACACAATAGCTAATACGAGGTCTGAGTTAAATCTATGGATAGTAGTCTAGATAAACACAAAATCCTAAAGTGAGATCGTGGCAATGTGCATAAAGCAGCGGCGTACCTCAAACACCGAGCAGATCCAGAATTTCCCATTTTCTGCTCACGCCCAAGAGCTACGAGCTAAGATGAAGTTGGTTGCAGTCCGAAAGGTTATACAGAACAGCTACCTAAAAATTGACTCAAATCAGCATCTTGGTTAGCGAAACAGGCATCTCACTTGGACACAAACATGCACAATAACGAACGCTTGTATATCTCCCGTCACCAATCCCCCTACCAAGCTTCATTTCATTGTCCCCTCCTCTCCTCACAGTTTCCCATAGCTCCTTAAGGGACATTGTTTGCTCCTTCGAGAAATGCAGGGTCATTTATAGTCTTGGGGTTACCAGTAGCGAAATAACCAAACCTGACACTCACGGTTTGTCAGATGTATGGCGCAACTCCAATGTTTTATTGTAAATGCAGAAGGATTTATCACTGAACCTAAAATAGGGTCCAAGGCTGTACTGGTACAGTTGCAGTAAAGTGATTCCCACTTTTTGTTCTGTGGCCTGGCAATGCGCAGGATTGAAAATGCCAACAGGTCATGGGGTTTTTCGTTGGTTTTTGTGGATTATTCTGATGGAATATACTTGAGTCAGCTGAATACGGATTTTTATGGATCCTGAGGCTAGTAAAAAAATATAGTGGAATTAAAAGCACAATCTTCGCCATGTATGCACTTACTTGCGTTTTTTAGCGAGCCAGTAAAAACGCATTCAATGGGGGAGAAAGAACAAAGAACAGGATTGGTATGAGATAGTGGTGAGTCCCTTTATACCATTACCAGCACTAAAGCTTCGCCACGCACCTTCGGTTAGTAAATAATGAAAACCAGAATTACGGTACCAAATAGTACTATGGACTGCATGATTTGAAAATAAGTAAAGTTAGACGTGAGAAGGGAGATGTATGTCACGGATTCTATGGCTGCCCTACAGCTATTCCTAAGCTAGAATTCGATGGGGTGGGAGTGGCCTAATACCCAAGTATGAACAACTTTCTCATGCCTTGTCCCATGGACCAGAATACATAAGTCTGTTATGTCTCATTAGCATGATCTATCATGCGATGTTTTCCTGACGATACTAGCAGAACCCTCTTTGTCAGTTAGCCCCACTTTGTCAAATCTCACATACTACTGGCAAATCCAGGAGCACCACAGGAGAAAAACAAATCACACAACGATTGAATCTTCTATCCCAGAAATAGGATAGCCAGAAGATAATCACTTGATGTGAATTCTGTTACAGAAGAATGAGTGGCCCAAGCTAATCACGCCCTTGTACGGCCACACAGTCTGGTTTTTAGCTACCAACAGGAAAGTTGCGCGTGTAAAGTCCCCGTAGATTTATAAGATTCTTACTGCAGTTGGAAGAGGTCTCTTGGTTTTTCAGCATGTAATGGCTCCATTAAAGGCGAAATCCTCTTTGAAAAGTCTCAACATCTACGCGCACTATCAAGAAAAGCTATTGGTATGGTCAATGCAGCGTTTAAATTGTATCTATCATTGATAATCACTCAGTGCCTACGTCAGGATATGGGAAATCATGCCAGGCTTCACAGAATAGCAGGCCCTTGTCAGTCTACTTTGTAATGCCCATCGACTGCATTGCTAAACGTAACTACCCCTTGAAGGCCGGTTTAAGAATCGGTATGGGAGTATTAAATATCAACTGAAATAATTCATACGCTGTCTCTTACATTTGTATGTATGATGGTCACAAAGTATGTCTTTGAATTGGACATCAGTAAAAAAGACGGCAAACGGGCTTTTCAGCCGAGGAATATTTTAGTCTTCACATCTCAAGTGATCAGCATCTACATTTGTCCTCGAGTAGAGTCAACTGGAAAAAATCACAGCCCAATGGTGACTTTGGAGTGAAACTATATTCATTTCTAGTCCGAGTGTACAGATAACTGAGTAGAGGTAAGGTTCATCCTGGCCAGGCTCTCTGATTCAAGTGATAGCAATCGAATCTAGCACTATGCATAGTGTGGTGGTTTGGTTATTTAGTTCCGAGAATGTACCGAGTTAGAGAATGACCGTTTCTATGGGCGCTTTTCAGAGATGTCTTTTCAGGAAAGCTGGTGAGTAGGACTCTGGTTAAATGAGATTCTTATGGAAATGGGAATCATTCTTTCCAAAGGCTCATACAACCGTAGATTCGCCAACGCAATCGCCGTACGGCTCAAACGCGCTCAACTTTGCCATTCCAAATGTTGGTATGCTCTTATCAAGTAAGTAATGGTTAATTAACCAATGGCCCAAAGTTATGTGGGGCTCAAATATCGTATAAGACTACTCCCATTCTCAACTTCTACTAATGTGTACGAGAAAATCTCAAACCCTCATAGGGACTGTCAAATAGATAGGTGCCTGCACAGTGGTCGGTCTGGTTGGTTAGTATGTTATTCATCCACGGGTTCTGTGGATTATTTTGCCCCGTTCTTGATAAACCGCTGTTTGCCCATTATGGCAAAGTTATTTCGTTCACGCTGTGACTTCCACCTTTCATGCAATGGGAGCTCTCTCTCTCTCGCCCAAGTCCGATTAAAGCGCCGTCAACATCCACACCCTAGTCCCCGGATTTTGAAAAAATGCAAACTACAAATTTGACCTACTGAATGCCTCCACTGTATCACCATCTGAATGAGACATGGAGTTATCTATTGGTTTTCCACAGAACGCATCGGCTTATCCCCGATGTAACAGAACCTTAAGCAGCTGGTTTTGGCAAAATGATGTTTTCTGCTGCATCTCTGGACCTTTATCGAAGCCGTCGCACTGGTTCGTGTAGAAAACATCGTTTGTGGCGTCACAAAAATTTCAACGGCTGATTTTTGTTTCCACTGCATAATATGAAAAAGTTGACTTTACCAGAGTGTTGGGCAACCAGAACTTGATACTTGTGATCTCCTTTGAAGTGATTTTCTCCAAAGCGCGGAAACCGAACTGTCGGTTTGTTCCTCCCGCCTTCTCTGCAGCCAGTCTCATTCAAACCTTTCTGTTATGCAATAATCTTTACCCAAACTTCAAGTTGCCAGCTGTCCTAGTGCACTGTCAGGTCATTCTGTTGATAATTTCACAAATGGCTCGCATAATAACTCTTTGCTTCACTTCTGTACCACTAACTCGATTTCTTAACAACCTGCGTTAGCGGGCCTTTTCCGGAACGGATGCTGATTACCTCTCCTCTGACTGATATATAAGTTAGTAATCAACTGCCAAACCTTTTCAACTGTTCGCAGACGGATGTTCAATGTAACTTCACCCAGCCTTACTGGGTAAAACAACGTAATTCCGAACAAGACAACCAGAAAAATGAATAATATGATTTCAGAGATGTCTTTTCAGGAAAGCTGGTGAGTAGGACTCTGGTTAAATGAGATTCTTATGGAAATGGGAATCATTCTTTCCAAAGGCTCATACAACCGTAGATTCGCCAACGCAATCGCCGTACGGCTCAAACGCGCTCAACTTTGCCATTCCAAATGTTGGTATGCTCTTATCAAGTAAGTAATGGTTAATTAACCAATGGCCCAAAGTTATGTGGGGCTCAAATATCGTATAAGACTACTCCCATTCTCAACTTCTACTAATGTGTACGAGAAAATCTCAAACCCTCATAGGGACTGTCAAATAGATAGGTGCCTGCACAGTGGTCGGTCTGGTTGGTTAGTATGTTATTCATCCACGGGTTCTGTGGATTATTTTGCCCCGTTCTTGATAAACCGCTGTTTGCCCATTATGGCAAAGTTATTTCGTTCACGCTGTGACTTCCACCTTTCATGCAATGGGAGCTCTCTCTCTCTCGCCCAAGTCCGATTAAAGCGCCGTCAACATCCACACCCTAGTCCCCGGATTTTGAAAAAATGCAAACTACAAATTTGACCTACTGAATGCCTCCACTGTATCACCATCTGAATGAGACATGGAGTTATCTATTGGTTTTCCACAGAACGCATCGGCTTATCCCCGATGTAACAGAACCTTAAGCAGCTGGTTTTGGCAAAATGATGTTTTCTGCTGCATCTCTGGACCTTTATCGAAGCCGTCGCACTGGTTCGTGTAGAAAACATCGTTTGTGGCGTCACAAAAATTTCAACGGCTGATTTTTGTTTCCACTGCATAATATGAAAAAGTTGACTTTACCAGAGTATTGGGCAACCAGAACTTGATACTTGTGATCTCCTTTGAAGTGATTTTCTCCAAAGCGCGGAAACCGAACTGTCGGTTTGTTCCTCCCGCCTTCTCTGCAGCCAGTCTCATTCAAACCTTTCTGTTATGCAATAATCTTTACCCAAACTTCAAGTTGCCAGCTGTCCTAGTGCACTGTCAGGTCATTCTGTTGATAATTTCACAAATGGCTCGCATAATAACTCTTTGCTTCACTTCTGTACCACTAACTCGATTTCTTAACAACCTGCGTTAGCGGGCCTTTTCCGGAACGGATGCTGATTACCTCTCCTCTGACTGATATATAAGTTAGTAATCAACTGCCAAACCTTTTCAACTGTTCGCAGACGGATGTTCAATGTAACTTCACCCAGCCTTACTGGGTAAAACAACGTAATTCCGAACAAGACAACCAGAAAAATGAATAATATGACCGTCTTTGAATCTTCTTAACGGCGCTGAGACGTGGGGACTACAATTCGCCTACGGATGTGAAAGTAGTTCGTGCTGACGTCAGCGCTCAATTAATATTGCGCATATTGCCTGACGTGTTCAAACGATAAGACGTCATACTCATCGATTACTGAATACCTGATGTACATACTATCATTCGACTATGGTCATCATTCCATTTCATGCACGCTGAGCGAATTACCTACTTTGTGAGTCCATATCCCCTCTTAATTATGAATGTTTCAATGTGTTACTATTCCTATGGCGCTGGGAGTGGCTTTCTGTGCTAACCAGATAAACTGTCCATTGATTAACACTAGCTAGCTGTATGCGTGTACCCCGGGAGCACCTTACGATGGGTTCCTACATTCGCATGCATTGTAAGTTGCAAGCTCTTAGCTGTTCTGAAACAAGTTAACAAATGCGAGCTATTAGATTGATCTGATTACGGCACAGAAAGTCCGGACGCAGTAGAACTGACAAGAAGGGGGAACTAAGCGTCAAAAAATTAGGCAACATCTAAAAAACAAAATGGTATACAAGTGCGGAAAGTATGTTTTGCATTTTATCTTGAAAGAACACGCTACTTCTTGGTTCCAGCATGAGCGAACACGGTTCTGTTGAGGCCCGGTGAGGGTGCAACAGCTTAACACTTTCTACTATTTATTCCGCCCTGAACATTCTGCAAAAATGTGGATCTTTGTATGAATCTTTTGAATCTTTTGGATATCACCATGCCTCAAACCTACTAATGACTACACTGGTATCTAGTTTGTTTTCTTTCTAATTTAAGCAAGAATGATTGATCCTTGAAAAGGTTTAGTTGGATTCGAAATTGCTTTTCAGGCTAATGTTGCACACAATCGCTGACGAAACATAATGCTGCTTCAAAAAACAACTGGAAAACCACTGTGCTTCCCACTGTTCAGATTACTTTGACGTAATCGAGCTATCAAATAGTCGACACTTATCACTAACAGTTTAAACGATAAGCTGTCCGAGATGCACTCATTGGCAAACTAATTTGATTTTTCGAGGTACTTACCTGGAACCCTGCTGAATCGCGTTTGTGATGTTCCCAGCCAACCGAATGTGCTGCACCAGGCCGCCTCAGGTTTCAGTTGCTACGATATTCGAGATATCGCGGTACATGTATATCCGTAACGCGCTACTCATAAGGTTGCTGGAAATTTGTCGAAGAATTTCCAGTAACTTTATGAGTAGTGCATTAAGAATAAGCTGTCCGGTTCAGCGCCATCTGAAAGTTCCAGCTATTTCTGTGGTGATCCCTATTCGCCAATCTGTCCCACCAGACTTATCTTATTTGCACCCTATTTCAAGTGGTAATTATTCCGCGTGCTGCACTACATTGTTCGCGCATATATCTCAAGCTCATTGTAACACATTATCGGGAAATCACAAATTCCGAATGCTTCAAACACTCAAATTTGCAAGTGTTTTCGCTTGGAAGCTAGTCCCTAAGCCGAATTACAAGCGTTCTAGGTCCGACAAAATGCGTAACATCCCATCACTTTTCATACCACCGTCACACTCTAAATAACAATAATAATAACAATAATGATACATAAAACTGCACGGATTTCTAGGAGTGCAGTGTTGTCTAACATCCGCCAAGTCAATATGGGATTCAATTCTGCAGACTCCCCAGCTCCAGCTATCAGTCTGTAGAGTTTTTGCGCATTCTAAGCAACTCGTTTGACAAGCTGGAGATCCGTGCTCGGGTGCTCTCAGACAATATCCAGGCGTTTTGATCGTCGTATCAGACACCTTAGAAACTAGATTTGCTGATTTCGAGCAAACACCACTCTTCTTTTCTCAAATCATCAGCAAAGAAAAATATTTACTCAGATGCACCACAGAGTACGAGGACTATTAACCATTTGTTCACAAGTCTCTCCTGGATATCATGTAAAGTGAGGAGTTGGGCTCAACGACACTAATTCAGAAGCTGAAAACCAGCTACTTCAAGTGCTATCTTTCAGTGTCGCATTCGACCCATCAACTAAACATAAAAAATTGGTAGTTTTTGCTTCAACTCTGAGGAGATGAACAGTGTTGACTGGACTGAAAATGAACTTCTGCTCCGAAGTTTATCTCATCTGACCTCAAATCAAATTTTATGAAACCAAGAGAACGTAGAATGTGATGCCAAATGAAATATCAGACGGCTTGGTGCAGTACATCCATTTGCTTAAATACACCATAAACAAGAGATTCAGCTGGATTCCAGGTAAGTCTCCCGTCAAAACCAAGTTGGAATGCAAGTGTATTTCGAAATATCAGGCGGCTTGGTGCAGTACATCCATTTGCTTAAATACACCATAAACAAGAGATTCAGCTGGATTCCAGGTAAGTCTCCCGTCAAAACCAAGTTGGAATGCAATTGAGTGTATTTCGCGAACGATTCTATGTTTCGCTCACAGGAACCGTCCACAAATCAGCTCACCACCCGCAAAAGAATGTAGGTGCGCGGTTATGAGCTGTTCAGTTGGTGGATTCTCGTTCTCTAGTGCGGCGCGATCAGAGACTTGTGATTTCCCGATATCGGCAAACCAACGGAATAAAATAATGTTGGCCAACACAAGCTATCAAAGAAAACATCTTGCCTCAGAATCAGTAGAGTGCAGACCAACAAAGTCGACCATATTTCTTATGTCGGCTTCCGTAATTGGCAACGGAGAGCTGTGGACATCCTCCAGATGTACGCAGACTCAAAGACTACAAGTTCTGGATAATACGTGGTTGTAGTAAACGTCCTACCTTGTTGGTTATTTATTCGTTTGGAAGAATTAGCCCAGGCAAGTAGCCATGTGGTCTGGATTTCCAAGAAGATACCTGGGTTTGGTGTCCCTGGAGCATGTGGTCAAATGCAGCGTAATTTTTTTCTGTTGTGCTAGATATTTTGTTCGCAACCCGAAGTGGAGTGTTGTTCTCCTATGGCACGCGTTCAAGTAAACAGCCAAATGTGGTGCATTCCAGGAGTGGTCTCTCTAGAGTAGAAATGTGAATGCCCACATGTGCCCACGCATTTGAGAACAATTTGATCTCCATCGCGAATCTGTCTTAGTGAAGGGTTCCTTTGTATTGCATTTCTACTTGTTGGCAAATAGCACTCAGTGGACAAGCAGTGAACAAACGTCATCAATAGGCCATTTCTCAACACTCACTTTTACTGTATCTCGTCAAAGCATTCACAAACGTGCTTACCTGTAGCACCTTCGCGTTCCCATCTGTCATAGTCCATTGGATGCCCGCGAATGTAAACCATTGCGTTTAAAGAGGAACTGCCGCCGAGGACACGTCCGCGAGGCCAGTACATGACACGATTATTCATGTGTCGCTGAGGCACTGTGTGGTAATACCAATTGTACCTAAAGTTGTAAACAAGCGATATCTTGCACATTTAGCGAGCAGATAAGAGGCACGTTTCGCACCAAAGCTTATATTTAGTTCAACTAACCCTCGCTTTACTATGAGACTATTTCAGATAACCCTGGGCTTCTTACTTTCTCTAAAATGGTTATCATTGGCATAGAATGGGAAGAGTATGTGCAGGAAGTTCGGGAAAACGAACAACTCAGCAGGACTTTTCAAACTTGGAAAATAAAATGAAGTGGCGAATTATCCGAGATTACCCTTTTCTCCTAACTTAGACTATCATTTCATCGTCAAAAAGGTCAGTTACACTAAAAAATAAAGTCTTGTCAGGATATCAGTGAGATACATTTGACAATACGCTGTCGACTCCGTCACAGTATGGTTACACAGACATCACTTAAACCAAGCACCATGAAATGTGACGCTTTGCTCGTATTTATCAGACACTAAGTCAACGTCGTTATTGCTTGCAGGGTTGTATAAGCGAAGCATTAACATCTTACGTCTGTAGAGGCTGTGAATACAATTACAGAATACATGGGTGCTGGAGCTTTGAGGAGTTCAAGTTCACCGTGTCTGTATAAGTGCCTTGTGGTATATACCCTCCAACTGAAGCAGACCATATTCTGGTTTCTGGGCTATTTTTAGACTATCTAACTGAGTGTTTGAGAACTTGGGCGATTCAGCCCGTGCCTATAGTTGATGCTTTTCTCCAGCATTCCCCTACACCGAGTTTCCCGCCTAATGAAATGCAATGTTCTATTAATGATGATTTGATATCCTCTGTCACATATATCGTGCTTTTTGCATCCAAATCGCCTGGCACAGCAAGAGTATGGAGCAGCAACACCGCTGGAGTTTCGCTGATGAAGGTGAAGGCGAATTTGTTAAATTTGAAGACCTTAAGCAGGTACCGCATGATTATGCTTATTATATGGATGCTTTCTGATTAAGTTCTACGATACCTTATCATATTCGTCTTTTTTTGGAAACAAAACGTTTAAATATTTTTGTCTTGCCGTAGCACGCATATTCCATGCGGGAACAGATTTGCCTAACCATTTGCCTACAGTCAGTCAACCTCTACGCAGTAATGTACATCCACGCCTCCCCCCATTTACATATGGACCAACACTAACAAAAATCATCACCAGGCTCCACATGCGCAAACGTCGTCACAAACCTGAAACCCGAAATACTTGTATACGGCTCTTCAAGGCACCTGTGCGACAGACTGTCCCCACCATCTTAGTAGAGCCCCATTGTTTCTGGTTCTATTTTGTGACGCTTATAAACCTACCCAAAGAGCCCTGCGACTACTGTTGGCATGCTGGGTGCTAGAAGCGGATTTATCTTCTTGTAAAGAAAAGAAACTGCTTAAGTATCGCACCCAGCTGTTGATACGCCCGATTCAAAGAGTCTACTACGAGTTCCTTCAGAGGTTCACCACATGTAGCAAGGTTGAAGAAAACCTGGTAACATTTCAGTAGCTGTCATGCTTGACCATAGACCCATCTAATAGGACCACTCCTAAACACGAATTCTATTTGAGGTTCGTTGGAATCCCCATTGTCACCAACTAGATGCCAAATACGCGCAGCCAGATGACACAGAATAACTTGAGGATTGAGTGACCTGCAGGGCGCCTGCCTGATGGCCCATATGCATGAAAAAAAGATATCCGTCCAGTGTCGGGTTTCCGTCATTCTTGTGGACAGCAACACGGATAAAGTGTGTAGCATGAAGGCCAGCTGAAATATGGCGCGACCTTGGTTCTGTACGTCTATTCGAAAAGCGGCAAATACAAGAGAGTGGTAGTCACCGAATAGTTTACTGAGAATGCAAATCACTTGTTCAACCTCCAAAAGCACTTAGAAAAACTTTTATATAATTTGATAAGCCAAAATCATTACTGACGCCAAAAAAGTGCTCCTTTCTAATAAAAGCTGGTCTCCAAAATGAAGAGCGATTTTTCTTGAGATGCTGCTCCGCAAAGAAACGAGAGGAGGAAGACCAAACTAATCAGGTTAATTTTGTCTTGAAATCGGTAAGAATGTCTTTTGAAGCTGTGAACAGAAACGCCGACTTCCGAGGGGGTCTCCAGATGTGAGGTTGAAGCGCTCAACTACAAATGTCAGCATACAATAAGCAGCTGTCAGAACCACGGTATACTGATCTTTTATGTCCCTTCGATTTCACTTTCTGATCCTGCGGAGTTCCACAGAAGATCCAGCGAAAAACTTTCAATGTGATTTGTTTCTACCCAGATATAGAACCGCAACCAGAGTGATGTCAAACTGCACCACCATTCCGATTATGACGCCTCCACCGATGCGAAATCGTGATTGACATAAACAACACAGCATACTTTATGGGTCAGACAGCTTATGAATTTATTCGCTGCAAAACAGGTCTATGTCGCGCCCAGCCCTCTGGTGAAGCCTCTCGTTTCATGAGGTGTGTTCTTGACGAAGTCAGTTATCCTGTGAAAGTTGGAAGGATCGCTACAAGCTACAAGGCCAGACATGCAGACACGACTAGACACGCACACACGGTGCGGAAAATTTCGTAATTTGCTCAGCCTCCCTCAAGTGCGTCAACAAGACTACACTAAAAAATGCACAGTTAGCAATGAATCTTCGAAGCATGCTCGTATTCCTGCGTTTCAGCAGACCAAACGTCACTGGAAAACGTGTCAGTCAGAATATCAAGACAAAAATTCTGGACAAAATTCTAGACTTTTCTGGACGTATGATGTTTTGTTTATCACTGGCAAACTGCCTCACGCAGTGTAAACATTACCGGAAGCTGGCTGAACTGAATGAAAAACACGCTAGCTGAAATAGTTAATTTGGATTCGACGCTGAATAATGATAACCTTTGAATAAAATAGACATGAGCCACATGTTTATCTCCGGAGTACGGTCTCATACGGCGTGATGGAAACCTCCAGTAACCTTGATCTGTTTTAGGAGGTTAACCAAGTTCATACAACACTAAATTTCTCAGCAGTTTATGGAAAATTTTCACGAAATATTCTGTTGATAAGCCTGCATTGTATTTAGTGTCAAGGTCATTAGGATGAATGACAAGAGGCGTTGCACTGGATGATTTTATTACACCACGGTGAAGTCACATAAGACAGCGAATAGATGTTTCAGATGACTCCATCTAAATAGCATAGAAGGCATATTGGACATAGTAAAAAGTCCGAACTAGGAAGATGAATCGTCTGTGTCGATCTGGTGTTCTCTGCACGCCATACTCGTGAAGCCTGTCGGACGAGAAAGTGGTAACCCAACCCAAAAACTTCGGGAGGGTTTACCAACGGCATGAGGCTTATATAATTTGGGTGGGGGTATCCCCCGATCAAAAATGTGAGCTGTCTATTTGATACTGTCTTCAAGAGTTGGATAAGGTGCTTGAGCAAATCACTAAGTATAAGCACTTCATCATACAAGACCATTCCTTGGGACGAGGATATCATGACTTTCCTGAGAAGGACCACCACCACACTCGTGCCTTCTGAAGGACACTGTAAGGACTATCGAGCATAAACGACGAAATAAACAGAAAAATCCAGTTATTTATTTCACTTCTGCAGAAATTCCATCCAATGAACCCATAAAAGTCACCACCATACAACCACAACGTGCGCCTTTGTTCCGCTTAAGCATAGAATTTAGAATGACTACAGCTCAGTACGGAACATTTCCTGTCTATGCATTTTTTCTTATTTTATGAGCTCGGGTTGAGGTGCAAATACTTCGACATGATGTTAATATAAGCACACAGATAAACCGACGTCACAGGGAAGTACACTGCGAATTTTAGCGAAATTTAGCGACTCTATGGAACATCCTCAATATGAAGACTACTCTCACAGGGTTACCTGAGACGCAGTCAATAAAGTCTCCAGGTCCATAGGCCAGCTGTGAAGACAAGACACTTCACACGCTTCCCAGGTTTTTTGCAGATACCAGGCGTGCACAAAATACCTATCTTTTCACACATTCACCATATTACTGCGTGGTTTAGCGTATTGGCACCTGGATTGTTTAACCCATGTAGCAGTTTAGCCACCATTCAGCCACGAACGTAATGTCTGTTCGGCAATACACATCATGTCAAACTCAAGGCAACTTGAGGTCCGAAAATGTGATGGAAGGCTTTGTTGTCCACATAACAATAATACCGTTGTTGTTGATGCGCTATCTTCCAATCTGGGCCACTAACCTTCAGAAGGATCCTAAAAAACTCGCATCTACTGGCGAGATTTCTCTAAACATGGTCATTCTCACGGAAACCCTATGCAAAATATTATGTGCACAATGTGTATTATATGGTGTCGATAAATAACTCACTTGCCATCGTATAAATTGTACATAAGAGCTGCAGGCATACGAATTGTCCACCTGGACCATCCTTCGTCCGTTGGCCCAGCCTCAAGAAGATGAACCGAAGATGCGTCCGCATTAGACCGCAATGAACTGGTTGAGGATCTAGGAGCTGATAACCTGTTGGCTAGTACGCCCCCCGCTGAACCGGCGACGCCGATCATGNTGTTGGCTAGTACGCACCCTGCTGAACCGGCTCCGACGATTATGTAGTCAAATGATATCTTGGAATTTCGTCTATATGTTGCCTTCCATCGTTTTGTGGTGCTGACAAATGGCAGAGGACTGTTGCGAAAAAAAAAAGAACTCAGGCTCGCCCTTTGGACTGACCGACCAAATGAGTTGAAGAAAGCGTTGCCGTGAATACCGACTGCTTTGAGCATTGCGAATATTTGAACTAGAAGAAAATAATGGTAGAAAGCAACATATTTTACTATAAAGTACATATAAAGCTTGATTCTGTTCTCAAAATAGTCCATTACCCAACTGAAAATGAACAGCAGCCGAAAACGCAGAAAATAATCCCTTCGTGGTTCCGACCCAATTCGCTTACTAAAATAAACCTGTCTCACGTTTGATAAGCGTTTATCTATGACTGTGATCCATGTACATGGTGAACACAGCACTTGTGCTTTCTCGAGCTTTTTCCCATTTGTGCCACCTCAGCTAAACGGCCCCCTGAAATCACATGCAGGTAAAACAAAGTTAATATCTATACCAACTGGCTGCTGGATAAGTTCAACTAAATAGGAGGACGAAACACATTCTTCTCAGTTACTGTGCATAATTGGGAAAGACATGTCGGGCAACGGCAAGACTCCCTAACAAAAATCCCAACTACAAACTTTATAATAAACCCCTGAGGTTTTTTATTAGGTGTTCGGAGATTTATTCAAAATCAATGAGGGCAAAGTAGATTATGCATTCTTACTCCACTTGCTGTTTCGTAAACTCAAAACAAATGAATAACTTCATCGTTCCGAGGAAGCCCCGTGGTTTTAGATTCATTTAAACGGTGTGCAACTGACAAAGGTACCTCATTAGTGTTTGCTCGTGAAAGAAAACATTCTGATACATTCCGGAACAATAAAAAACCATTTTCAGCAGATAATTGCGGAGAACTCATTTGAGATCAGTTCAAATCTTAATTTTGCTTATGCTATTTGCCCCTCTGCAGCTACTGGTGCAAGAGCGAGATTTTCGCAAAATAAAGTCGTGACCAGATATATCTCTTCTAGCCCTGACAGAGGGATGGCAAAGAACATACAGCAATGAGCATAACAGGCAATCGTTACAGGACCGGAATGATTCTGCCACGCTCCGTGTGAACGCAGTACAACACGTGGTTACTTCGCCCAGATAAAACAGCACCAAAGGGCGATAAGATCACCTTCACGATGTTTGAACTGCGCTGATGAAAATCCCGCGAAACTACATCCTCTCGGGAGGCATGTCTGTTACATTTGTGGATTAATTCACCGAATATAGCCATAACGGTACATTGCCAGTTGATACATCTTCATATTTAGTTCTTACACTTCACTCAACCTGGATAATACCTAGTTGAGCTCCACATCATCTAACTATTCATGTTTTTCAGAATGCCACTGAACATTAGGTTCCCTTATTATTGGTGGTAGCTAGATGTGCGTTTTGCTTTTTTATGTAACTATGATTTCAAACTTGTCGGGTATTGGCATGTTTTCAACTGTGAAGTGATAACAGTCTCCTATGCTATTCTGCTAACTTTGGTGTAGACAGCATTTCTTCCAACAATGTTAACCATTTATGTTTGCCCGCAAAGTACACTCGCAAGAATCCAGACGCTACGAATTCTGGAAAGGAATCATGAAAGGTCGCACTGATGCTTGATGCACTGATCTTGAAACTGATGAGTCTCTAGCATAAAAACATCTTTATTTTGAGAGATTTCGCGATCGGATGCAATATTTAACTGACTGGAATTTGCAGTTTAAATAAGCCTTGTGAATTGCTCTGCTCCGACAGTTCCGTACAAATAAGCGATGTTTCCAAAAGGACATTCTGAGACCTCTCAAAAGATTTAACTAATGCTCTAGAAGCTTATCCGCTTCCAGAACCCAAAAATTCGCCCGATTCCCGACAAGATTTTTACGACATCGTACCCTCTTGCACTTGTCGCCGTGAAAGTCCTCCCACAAACTGTTGACCATAAACACACCGCAGTTTATATTGGCACAGACATCCGCATTTTGTCGTTCAGCGTTTACCAGACATCTTTCAACAATAGTTTCGAGATAGTATTTTGGGCATATTTAGGGGAAACGATTCTTGTTAGTGGCAACCTAAATGAACACTTGAATCTTTATCAATGTTCTCACATTGTCTGGATCCAAACAGCGTCCAGAAAGATATTCTTTTTCGGTCCACACTAACCTTTGTTATGGATATACAACTGATCGCAAAAGGTAATAGTCTCTAAAGGACAAAGATCTGATCCTGATAAATAGATCGGGAGTGCGTCAAAGCCCATCACGGCTACAACACTTCGTGGGACTGGCAACGAATGGGTCAAGCTGCCTCTGTCATATAATTACACACCTTTTTTGTATCTGAATTGTTGTTATCGTTGCATCAAATGCTTTAGAATAATCAACTGATGCGGAAAACTCCACGTTGATCAAAAAATATCGGTTGACACCTATCCCTTCACAACCATCAGATCATAAAACTTAAAGATGAACTGAAAATCAGGCCTAAGCTATGTTTTTTCTTTAATAGGACTGTACAGAGTGCTGAGTGGCTGATATTTTACCCTCCACATTGATCAAACAAAGTTCATCATCCTTTAATCTTCTAAATGCAACCTGCTCCATGCGGCTGACCTCCAGTGTTACACTAGTATACTTCAAGCTTATGATTTCAGACCAACGTCATCTTCTGTCCATCCTATCGCGCCTAGTTTTCCAGCGAAAGCCAGCAAGCAAGATTAAAATAATAAATTTGACAGTTTAATTTGACACAGTAATGTAACGCATTTTATACGTATTGGTCCGACATCCTCCTGTCAGTGCCCCAGTAGCTGTCAGGAAAACCACCCCAGATGTATCACTAGCCATCATCACTGACAGAAATACACCAAAAATGCATACTGATGCTTAACTGGCATAGCGGAAATCTCCCAAATGAAGTTCAGGAGTCACTGTCAAAATCTGGCTCGCCCCAAAACGGATGTAGATGTACGTTCGGAGATCGTGTGGCCATACAATAAAAACTTCGGAATGAAGAGCTGAAACTTCTTCTTGAAGAGCATTCTGAAATAAGCATGTGAAAGCAGTTGCTTGAAACTACCCTCATTAGCTCTGTACTGATACAGGCGTTGAAGATCTGGTTCACCGTGATCACTATGCTATAGTGGTCAGATGTCAAGTGAAACCACAACTGTTTCGTTCGTTATAGCCGGAAAAGAACATGAGAACGGGCGCATCTGGATTTTTTGTTCAGTTCAAAGATATGCTTTCTCGATCGTTAGATGTACTACATCAAAGTGACCAGAATTGTCGCATTTGGCCGACCTTACACTGTAGAAACAACAGTCATCCATTGTTGGTACAGTTGGGTGTTTCGGAGCTTCTCGGACGAATAGTGGAGCTCACTTTTGCCGTTCACAAGTTGTTCGACATTTGCTTAGATAACCTCAGCATCCAAAAGCAAGGTGAAAGAGGCTTCGCTGCTTACCTGATCCACAGAGTCACACACCTGAAGTCCCATTATTCTTGCCTAAGTTCTGAGTGAGTCCGATCATCAGCAAACCACCAAGATCTAAACAAGAAGCATTAACTTCCCCATCGCCCCCATTTCCCCAGAAACAAGACAATACTTACACAACAGGGTACACACCAAGAAGCTTATTGGGAACCTCCTTTTAAATCGCATGATGAATAAACTTTTTTCACATTTTGTAAGGGTCTTCTAAGATGCCAGTCTGGTTCGTTTTCTTGCGCTGTCATTTAATGATTTACTATGTGACTCTGATCCGTAATTATTTCCTCTGCTATACTGATTGTTGCGCCTTATCACATGGGTTTGGCAGTACAATATGTTCGAAGTTCAAATTAACAGACTTGAATCTTATTGTTTAGAGTTGCTGGGTGGCATCTCTGTACAGGTACAAAATTGCATTTAACGTAAACGGGGAAATATTTCCGGTCTGGTAGCTGCGCCTATGGGTATGGTGGCAGTTATGATTGTACATTGTTTATACGGAGGAAATCTAAGGTATCATAATGAAAATGCGTCCAGAGGAATACAAAGTCACCAATAGTCAGAGGAACCGTGCCACAACAAGAATGAAATGGATGATTCCTCAGGGCACAGCTAGTTGGGAAAACTGCTGGACATAAGTTAACAGATAGCTGTTATCATGCAATAAGTCTCTTAACGTTCTGTGAAGTTTTCCATGTTTTGCGTTAGATAGGTGACGCAAAAGCATGAAATCTTTGTTGTCAGAGAGATGAAATGCACCCACCTTGTAAGATAGCGATGTTTTCTATTAAGGGAGGTGAAACAGGAATGAAACGGCTTGCAGATGCGAAACAGTGAGCTAAATCCACCGTCCAATAAACAACTGAGATTCACCCAGGCGTTTATCGATACCTCAATAATCAAACTGATCACATCCATCTCGCAAAAGGTGTGCTTGCATGTGGCTTCGATGGTGTAACCTCCTGAGTGTGAGTTTGGCGGATGGGCCGTAAATTCTTTTGTCAAAATGCACGCATTAAGTGTAATCGAACCCTTCCATATATGTTCCAATTGCAGTCACATGCCACCAACTGATAGTGAATCCGGGCCGCTGCTATTGGTAACCCACTTTCCAGGTATAAAAGCCATTATGTCACTTCAGAATTTGTCGGTCTTTTCACATTTATATTTTTTATCGTTGATCTTGGCTAAATCCATCATCAAATTGCACAGTTGCTTCCTTTTTTTCATTGGATTTGTTTGCATAAATAAGCTTTATTTGGCCAAATTAAAATGCGTATCTATTCTTACCCCTGTCCAAACGCACCGAGTAAAAGTTTACTTATTCTGTGTTACACAATAAATGACTGACTGAAGACGCACCCTCACATCTCTGCATGAGGTTTCAGTAATACGACCATTAGGAAATGAGCAGGACACGCGCGGACATAATCAACACACTTCAAGCGGGACGAAGGGACTGAAAAAGAATAATTTCAATATAACAAGCTCTATGTAGTCCAGTAAGCTTTTACACAATTCGGGAGTATGTGAATATAAATAAGTCAAAATCGCTAGAGTCTGTTTGAATATATTAAAGTGGAAAGGCAGGCATGAGTGTAAATTCATGGAGGAAACTCAGGCCCAGTAAATTTCTGGCCACATGATGTGAGACAAAACGGGATCTCAGTTAAGTTATTGTTGATTCGATAGTACTAGCCACGGCAGATGAGTAATGTTTGGGATAAGCCAGTTCGCATAGGGCAGTAGATTGTGGGCCCGTGAAAATCCAGAAAGCAAGCCAACGGTCAAACCAACGCCTGCCGATTGACCGGATATCAAGTCCGACGGTGTGTCTCCAACGACGATAGCCTCATCTGGCTGATGCTGTATATACAAAAAGAGCAGACAGAACAGACACTGGGGTTAGTCCAAAGAAGGTAATCCTCCAACAATTTCGCCATGACTTGAGGCTTTCCATTTGGATGTGACAAGGCATGTAAACTTCGCATGGGCAGTAGATTGTGGGCCCGTGAAAATCCAGAAAGCAAGCCAACGGTCAAACCAACGCCTGCCGATTGACCGGATATCAAGTCCGACGGTGTGTCTCCAACGACGATAGCCTCATCTGGCTGATGCTGTATATACAAAAAGAGCAGACAGAACAGACACTGGGGTTAGTCCAAAGAAGGTAATCCTCCAACAATTTCGCCATGACTTGAGGCTTTTCATTTGAATGTGACAAGTCATGTAACACTTCGCATGATCAGTCGAACCGTTAGTTAGGCCTGCGGCCATTCCATTTGGATCTCCGTTGATATTTTTGAAAACTGGTGAGTTCTCATAAGCTTCGTTACTTGACTGCGCTCAGCACTGTCAGAGGGATGGTTGACCTGATTCAGGCAAACTGGTTGATGTTGACCCGGTTAAACACGTGAACCGAATAATCTACATATTTCTATGTCTAGTACATGTATAACCCTAGCCTACTTTCTAACATCTTCGAACCTTAGACAGCACTTTTGTCAAATTCAATACAACTCGGGAAGACTTTCTACTCCCATAAAGTCTGATCCACAAGGATTAACAACTCATCTCCGTTCCACTTCTGTTTTGTCTGCAATGACTGACATATTCGCACATACTGTCAGCCTCAATAGATTCAGCTAACCGAAATCGCAGGTAAGAAATTTCTTTAGGTTATGAGTCTTGAGAATTGGAAATAGAACACATTCATCTACCAAGTATAGCATTCACTTACAAGCTGGACTCGTGTTATGTGCGACGTGACTTTGCCACGTGTCCGGTAACTTAGATAAATAAATCGATATGTTCCGCTACTTTGGTAATCATGTAATACTAGCCTGCGATTATTTGGATGGATGTCTATATGACTCCAGCCTACTCAAGGAGGATCATCTGTGTAGTTCATGTAGATATTAATGTCTGGTGAATTGACTTTTTCTGTCTCTAGTGGATGTTCATCCTTTTTGACAGGCAAAAATACCACCCCGTACTTCCATTGATCTCCCGGTATTTGGCCGACAACTATGGTGAGATGTGTTCAAAACAGAGCTGGTTAAAAGACAAGCTAACTTACGATTGAAAGCGTCAAGTTTATACCGGAACAGAGTGGGTCATTTTCAAGTCTTCATATCAATGAAGATAGGTCACGGCAAAATGCACTCATTTGCATACTAAGTTGGTGCTAACGGAGACGAGGTTGAATTTCGTCGAAATCCCTTGCTTATTCTGAGCCCCAAAAGGCACTAAACTGGTTGTGGGCTATCAACTCATCTACGGTAAATCTGTAGGTAGTGAATTTAGTCAAGAAGAAGTGCCATAGCCCCGTGGATATTAATTAACCTCGTAGAAATTCCCTAGAAAATATTGTTTATCAATAATTGACCCTTTTTCTGGTGTTACACTTACATTTAAAAAGTAGACATTGGAAAATATCCTTTTACCAGTGCCAGTACTGAAACCAATGTCTAAATGGTGTACAAAGATCCCTTTCTGGTAAAACACTGAGGCAGAAAAAAAGCAGGTATGTTATAAGGCTAGCTAACCACTAGCACTTGTAAACCAGCACTAAATCAGGCAAAGTTTACGGAAACCGGTAGTTAGATCTCCGGTGACAATGGCCTCCAGTTATGTCTTTCAAGGTCACCAGACAACCCTTTTAAAGCTGTCGGTTTTTCTTGTATGCCTTATGTTTCTCTAAGAAATTTCGGATTGAAAATCCTCTGGGATGTACCAGAAATGTTGACATCAATTCATCGTTATCGCGGGTGGCTTCCCGAGGCTGAAAAAAGGTGATCCACAGCTTTAGGGTATTGAAGTTTTCAGTTTCCAGTATAGTTACGTGTTCAAGTGTTTCTCAACAGGGAAAGTGTACAGATTGTGAAGAAAGTTCACAAACCGAGCTCTTCTAGATTACACAAGATTTTTGTAACGCCCAGTGAACATCCCCGAAAGCTGAAAACAGTACCAACTTGGTGTTACTAGGTTTGTACATATTTATTCGCACGCCTGGCCTAATCAATATAATTGATCACTGGACAGGTTTGTGCATTCTTCTTCAGAACTGCTTACGCCACAAAAGTTGTCTCCGGAAATTCTCATTTTTTTATCCGAGCACTGGGTGACCGGTTACTGACCGAAAACCTGGGAGATGTGAGAGCATCATGACTACAACCAAGTTTTGCCCAGAAGACTGGAATCCATTCATTGCCTTGTGCACCACATTGTGTGGTCATCCAACATGACACATGTGGTAACACACTGTTTCATATCTGTTGACTGGCTTCATATTACACATAGGATATACAAACACTGGACTCACACCAAGAGCATTCAGGACATGATAAACTGTATGGGGCAGTGGTTTTGGATGCTTTCCAGCATCCTCAGCAGACAAGACATAATCTATCTTTCCTTCCAGACCGGTGCAAGACAAAAACTTTCTCGAAACTTCTCGGCTGTCCGACGTATTGAGAGCAATGGCTACGCCGTGCTGCCGCAGATGTGTAATAGTTTCCACCACGCCAGGAAGCAAATCGTCTGCGTCCGAATCTGGTACGAACCATACCTTGAAAACAAAGCAGTGCAAAATTGCTTATTTAAACATAATGCACGGGAAACGTTTGGCTAAAATGTACCTCGTAAATATATACCGGGCATTTATGCAAATCATATATGGCATTGCCCCAGTCTCTCATTTCTGACTGCCCCGGCTAGTTTTACTTTAATGAATGATATTACATTTAAGCTACTTTGACGCCAAAACCGTGGAAAAAGGTGGTATTTTCTTGCGCCTTGAAGTGGTCCCAAAGTCGACAGAACAATTATTGGATACAGTGAACCTAAAGCAAAACACTCGGATGGGAAGGTACATGGTGCAGTGAATGGATTCATCGCAAAGACCCGCTAGCAAAAACATGCACATCCTCGCCTCGAGAATCCGAAACACCTAAGCACCTAAGTTGTCCGATGGGAAATGACTCTAGCAGAAAGCATGGGTGGGGTGATTACCTCTGCTAAGAGTAATCGGCTCTTATTTAACACAAGTTCACTCAACAGAGTTATCACACTGGTTGGAGGGTGGTTTAAATTGTTCGGTGCCGTTTCTGTGCATGGTGTACTGTGCATGGTCCAGATCTCTTCCTTGACCGGTTGGATGGTAAAACGAGCCAATGGATTGGAATAAGGCATGGTGGCCCACTAGACTATTTGGTCGGGCCGGCACTCGCTAGTTTCGTTCGCCTCTGGGCGGATTGCAGGTTGAGGCACTGTCAAGCAACCAGGTTGCAGATCAAGTGATGTTTGTGTCTGGATTCAGATGTCAATGATATCAGCTATCAACGTCATCCGTATCTAGATAGATCCCATTGCCAAAGTGCCGGTAAACCTGCTGCAATCTCATTTCACACTGTACTAGTTCACTAACACCTTAGAACTGCTCTCCACCCCTAAAACAAATCCAAAAGTTAGTGTTAACTTAAGCGGTTGTTATCATTCAACTCATAATCCATTTTACGATACACAGTGCAGTATTTCTGGTCCATGTTGCACTGTTGTATTACGGATGGAAAGTAATTATGTCCGAACTCTGGTTGTAAAAGGGCCCAAGTGGCTGACTGAATGACACACTGAGCTCCAAATTTAAATGAGTGCCTTCTGGATTGGCCACCAACTTCCATCCAACAGACCACTATACAAGGTTTGGAAAAACCAAATGGCTCTCTAAGTGAATACTAGTTAGGCTTTAGTGTGTGTTGGGCCAGTATGTGCTAAATGCAACCACGTACCATTACGCAATTCGTCAAGAGGTGTAGCCAATCTTAGCGGCTTGAAGCATTCTGAAGCAGGCAGTACAAGCTAGGGTTATGTGCACGGAAAGAACCAAACGCTGACTGGGAATAAACAGAAGGAACTTTGGTTGTTTACGAGCTTGGTTATTTCGTTGCAAGCTTTTCATCACCACCCAAATTGACATCAGCAGTGCGCGATTCTAATGTAGAAAGGAGCTACCGCTAAGTACAATCACCGATCATGGAGTAGCATATTTCCACCGGAACAAATGATTATCAATATCATGGATTATAATAAACACTCGAAAGGTAGCACCCAACCACAAAACAGAGCTACTGTTAATTTCAGTCATTTCGGAAAAATGTTTTGGCGTCACTAGCATCAGTTAGCATTTGTTCAAGTGTTTGTCTGAAACCAGGGAAAGCAAAGAGAATCCTGCTAGACAACAGACGTCTACAGATGTTCTGACCATATGGAGGGTCATACGTTCTTTCAGTGCATCAGAGTGTCAGTGGTGCGTGTATGCCCTGACTGCGCAAGGTAAACTGGCTGAGAATTGATAGGTTTGACTGCCGAAGTAGTGATATAGTTAGTAAAGGACAATACCATATTTGGGCGAAAAGGCGAGCATGGATACCTGGCGCCTGAGGCCCTATGCAGAATGTTTTGACACACTTCTGTAGAACTTCTGGTTTGACCTCCAGTTTACTGCAGAATGTTTTGACACACTTCTGTAGAAGAACTTCTGGTTTGACCTCCAGTTTATTGGTCATCAACTCAGCACTAGAATACGGCCTCTTACTGATTCATTCCACGGCGCAAGGTCCGTTCCTCACCCTTGTTGGTAAATATTTGTTGACAGGTTGAGGATAAAACGTCAAAGAGGAATGAGCTCACAAAAAATTGATGTACGATATTTTCTCCTAAAAGGAGGCGGGATTAAACGGCGTAGCCTTTTGTCCTCATCAAAATGAAGTTTAGTCGTCACCCCAAATGAAAACCGTTTGGGAAAGTCAGACGTTGCGCATCCAAAAATAGGAAAACAAGCAACAGCAACATTTATGAAACGCCGTACAAAGCACCGAAAAAACACTCATACCTTGTTCACAATTTCCGAGGAAGACCGCTGGTCGTAACCATTCAGGTTCAAAAGATATCCTAAACAGTCACGGATATGAAGGATAGAGCAATCAGGTAACATGCCGCCAGACACACGTCTTGACTCCGCATCATAGCCAATCATCTCCATGAACTTGTCTGCTATTCGTGCCGAGGTGATCTCTCGCAGTCTGACATAAATGACGAATCAAATATGAAACCATATTCATATTATGTACATGCTTATTGTGAACAAAAATATGGATGTCTAGAAGAAAAACAAAACAGTTACAACTCCTGGAGACAGGATTACTGAGAAAAAGCCTTGACATGACAATCAAAGGCCGTACCTATCAGGGTTGATGGACAGCAGTGCCATATGGGGATAGCAAGGGTTTATGGTCAAAATACGAAATGGAGTAGTAATTTTTCTTGGCTGGGTATGTTAATTCCAGACCGAGCTGGTGCAAGCCAGATGCGTCATCACAATTGCTAACCAGCAAGGAAGCAAAGATGCAAGATCTTTCCGATTCAGTATGATGGTACATATGCTCCAAACATTACTTTCTATAGAGACATAATGAGTGAGCCAAACCTATGCTAAACGGGAAGCTAAACTTTTGTTGTTTTGATGGGAATTTTCCCGGACTAATGTGACTAAAAACGTTTTGCTTCACTGTACGATTATTGAGCCTCAGTTATCACACATTTGAGAAGAAAAGAAAGAAAAAAGATTAACATCCTTATCAAAGCTTTGTCACTTGGTACTGGCATGGGTGTAACAGCGGGTATTTTGCATGGACAAAGATGTCGTTCGTTACTCTTCGTATCACATCTGAGGTGTCATTACAGTAAATCGTTAATACGCTTTTCTGTATTACTATCCTAACGCACGGTACTTCTAGACGTTCATTTGGGGTTGGTCATCCGGCAAGACCATTGAAAAGGATAATCCAGTTGACATTGAATGCATTATCAGCTGAAATATAGCTGGGCAATTTGTGCACCAAACATCAATCCCTTATACTACCAGAGCTCGTGGTGGTTACTTATTATATGACACGCTTCAGATAAGCCGGACATAGGTCCATATGAGAAAAGACTTTCGCGCCAATATGTCCCTTGAGTGAAACCTCTGGTATTGACAAAACTTACTATGAATGTGATGAAGCAGTTGAAAGGTCTGCACAAGTCTGTGCCCCGCCAATCGTCCGTCGGCCAACAACAATTGGTGCGGTACATAATGGGCTGGTAACAAGATTGCGAACACACCTGAAGATATGCAGCTGTGATGTTTTCATCTTTACTCATACCTTCATTACTCATCCATGGTGTGGAAATCATAGTCTATTGCCCGTCAGACCTATCCTCGATTTTACGCAGGCAGGCCCACACCGCTGCCCCGTCCAATCACACCGTGACCTTTGACCTTATGAAGTCAGGTATGTGTGCTGTTGCATTGTCATGCTCTAGCCCTGGAGCGGGACGAACCTTCGCCCCCTAGGTTTACAAGAGAGAGGTTGTTGATACCAGAAGAGGATCAGTGGTCGTTTATCACACAAGCGCAGTGCAAAGGCTGATAAGCACCAAGGAGCAAAGGTTTCTCTGTCAGGTCAAAGGGCACGGTAGCTGGCAATGGTGTTATCGGGTGGGTGAGGTGGAGAGCATCAGTATATGGACAGCGCAAACATTATCGACCTATGTGAATGTGAGAATAGGCTTGAAAAATGATGGACGATGCTGCATACACTTACTCGACAGAGAAGTAATCACGGCATGAGCAAAGATGAAGCCATCATAATTGGACGTTTAGGCAGTGTCCTTGGCCGCAGCGTTCTGACTTAGCCGCATGATCTCACATTGAGGTTGGTGGTTTGCAGTGTGTGAAAGGATTTGTTCCGGTAGAGGGAACAGCTGATTTGTACTGGAAAGAGTTTTGTGACCGGGACAATCACGTTTTTTAATTTCGTCACTAAATGAGCCAAATTTTGCACCACTTATCCGTACTTGGTAGACGCTTGTTGCATCTATAAAGTTGGGAGTGATTCCGTTACCAGGATCTTAATAAAACTCTTGAATTCAACCTTCGGGCGTCTCTCCCGCATGAGGTGCGAAACTGTTTGTTTCTCGAGCCGTTTTGATATCAATAAATTCCACAGGAATGGACCGGAAAAACCTAGCACTGTCATCCAAACTGTCTAATGTGGTGTTGCTAGTGCCACCATATGTTTACGAGAAATACTTCTTTAACCGTCCTCATTCGCCCTTGTTACGACCCGGAGGGCAAGCCGAGCAAAGCAAACTGAAATAGCTGCCAAAATTGGGGAACTTAGTGCCGAGTTATAGTTAATTTTGGAAAAGCATTGATGCCTGCGTCAAATAAATCTTCTCGCAAGTATAGAATGTAGATGAGTTTAAGTAGCCCCAAACATTTCTGAAAGAGTTGCGAAATGTTGCAAGATTTGCAGATATTGCATTCATATCACTCTTGTTTGAGCAGTCCTCTTCACGCCCTGGTGGAATGATTTTAGTTAGTTGACGCTCAAGCAGTACCAATCCTTAGTCATAGCAAGATTTTACTCCCAGATATCTCAGTTGCAAGATGAGTGTATTACATTTACTCCACTAACGCATGCCAGATGCCTCTGAGTAATCACATTTGTACCTGTACATGCTATCCGCAAAAATATCACTGTTGAGAAGTTGGTCCCTGTGTGATTTGGAAACGATGGTATTTCGGTGAATCTGTTAGTTCTGGTGGATTTTCTGCCATCATTTAATATCGTGTGTCAATGAGATTGCACCAAGCCAGTTATTTTCACGTAAGAGAATGTCACGTAAGGAATGTCAGTGCCCGCATTGCTGAGTAGTCCTGGGAGGTAAGGGGTCGAATCAGCCAAAATTGTTCTGAATCGTCATTCAAGGTTCTGGACAAGCTGACTACACTGCTTCATCAAGAACACGTTTGTCTGAACATAAGTGGTAACTCAGCTGCGTCCAGCTTGCGTTGTTGAAATAAAGGTAACAAGTATATTTTGGAAGTTGGACGTTTGGGGTTCAAAGCTCTGCACAGCCAAGGAATGTTTGTGTTCACGGGCGCCAATAAGAGTGAAATTTAGAGTCCAATCTCCCCGCTGTTCGGTGTGGGCTCGCCAGAACGATTCCTCCAAGACATGAAGAGGACTAGCCCAACGGGGGTGACGTGATGCAGACTGTGGGATAATTAGTCGGGTTGTGTGCCACAGAAAACACTGTGCTGAGTAAGAAAGTCCAAAAATCGGCAATGTTGTCCATAGTTGAAACGAAATTTTAGGATTAAATTTTTGGCAAAACAATGACTCCCAAGTGGTGCTAGCTCGGTCGATAGAAGAATCCAGGCTGACGATGTGTTTAGCCAAAAAATCAACTACCAGCCAAGCAATTATTAATTCACATGGTATAAAAAACATCGAAAAGATTTCCTTCCGGTCAGTAGAGACAACTTAGTGGCCAGTTCTCTACGTAGTAAGCAAGCACTAATTCACAAAGACACAACCGAGCACGTTACGGCAGTGAAGCATCGGTGTTGAACACTGATGTCATGCTGTCGATGATGATGATGATGAACCGAGCACGTCGAAGTTCACAGTCTTAGCGGCAAAATAAATTTTGCACGTGGCGAAAGATGATTTGCTTCCAAATGTTTCTGCGATTTTTCAAATGAGCAACTGTAATAGACGTCAGCATAATCTCTGATGGACGAGGATGACGGTGTGGAGTGAGGGGAAGCAGAAGTATGATGCTGATGAACATGACACGTGTCATGAGTACGCAGATAGCCCACAATGGCAAGCAAACACAAGTCACTGACTGTGACCTTAGGAAGTCCCAGTCCAATAACAGTCCTGAAGGATTGAGGAAAGCAGATTCCTCAATAAGAGATGATCATCGGTTGGTAGACCAAAAGTCGACATCACAAACGATTGCACGTAGGACTGAGATTAAGCGAGTAAATGTTCATCAGCATCATACTTCTGCTTCCCCTCACTCCACACCGTGGCACATGGCGTTCAATGTAAATTTTTGTCATTCAATTTCACATCAGACCCAGTATGATGGATACTTTGTGCCTGATGTGCGAGTCTTGATTGTGCTACCGCTTACTGCGCCTCGAAGAGCATTCAACAGTGTTTGTCCTTTCTTCGGTTTCCACACTTTCGGTTGGTTTCCACACTAAAAGTTTTACAAACGTTGGGATTCATCTCATCTGACTGGAACTGTTGGTGGCATGAATTCGAATGGGACTTTTCTCTCTTTTATCTCATATTCTCCTGTTACCCTTTCGCATTCGTCGCTTGCATTCACTTTTTATGTTTGTGAGCATGCTCTTCAAAAATAGATGACAATAATGTTACCGGTTAGAATAGACCTATCCTCTGTTCGCCCATTACAGCGCGGAACTTTTTGTCTTCGGAGATTTCGGTTGGGATCCATCTATGGCTAGCACAAAACTAGCTGGTTGCCGAGACCCTTGGTTAATTTATCGATATTTCGTGCACGTTTATTGAAACGGATACAAACAAAACATCATATTAAACAATGTTTGGTGATTACTTGGAGGAAGTACGCGAGTGGTGGACTTTTTAGAAATTCGAAATAGCTCAACACTTGAATAGGTAGACTACTTCGATACGTTAGTTTCAGTTCACCTAGCGCGTACTACCCGAATAATGACGAGGCTCTCACCTGACACTGCAGACAACCACAGTTTGAAACCCCACGCTGTCGATTAGCGGGAGTAAACTACAGTCCAGCGCTTCATCCGTTTGATATGGACGGCAACAATGATCACGTAAAGCAATCGCGACTACCGTTCATCGGAGTATGGGTTACTAGATCAATCCTGTATTCAAGATTGATCTACTGATACAGCTTTATTTTGAGCGATGCGAACATGAGTGAATTTTTCCCGCTGTTCTTTGTAGTTACTGAATGAGAAGCCATGGTTTTCGAAAACAAGTTTGACATGACGTCTGTCACATGATGAAAATGTGCCCATGACAGCTTTCGAAGGGATTACTAACTGGGCTGTTATAGTTTGTCGTCAACAAGCCGATACTTCGCTCTAACGTGCAAACATCTTGGAATGTATCTAACTCCCGCTGAAAATAACTACAAATAATAAAATAGACCGGAACAACTGTCAATCACGTGATATACAGGTGGCAGTCCCCTGTCACCGACGAAATGGAGAGAACACTAACATACGACTAAATGAACGACAGAGAATTGCTGGCACCAGCACGTAAATGATAATCACGCTATCATAGGATGATTATTCATTAAGCGTCACAATTATGAACCGTGAATTAAGCATGTAAGCCAACATATTCTTTAATAATAATGAAGTATTACAACCTTTAATTGAACTTAAGCCTTCAATGGAGGGAAGTATTACTGGTTTTCGTTAAGTTTCAAACTTATCCTACAGAGCTGGATGTCAGGGCGTTTTACGTTGTTAAAGTACTTCTGATGTAAGTGGTAAGTAGGTTCAAACTCCTACACTGAGTACATAAATAAGCCCATCATTCTGTTTGACAGAAGCTGATGGTGCAAAAACCACAAGGTTGTGGTTTATTATTGCGAAGTCCCACTCTATCTCATTTGACTTTCTATATTGCGGTCAACACAAAAGGCTGCGGCGAAGACCAACATAAGTGACAAACTCTTCCTGTGAGGCGCTAGCATAATAAATGCCAATTTTCACTGGTGAATCCGCTTTACAGGAAACATCGTACTTGTGAGGATCCTTAGCCGGGTATCAAGCCATATAAAACGTCTTCATTATTGGTCGTGCTGATTGTTCATAATGGACCAATATCCTTCGTAGTAGACGAATACAGCCGTGTTCTCCAGTTGCTAATATGAGTACCCATCAACTTTTGAAGATTGAATCGTTGAAAAACACAGAAGTACACCTAGGTAGTATCGAGTTTCCGGGACATCTACTGACAAACAGAACTCCAGACGCCTAGCCAAAATCAGATGGAAATCCGCCTCTACATTGCTCGGATGCGGTTCTTGATGTAATACCCTAAACCTATACCTTGTTTCGTTGTAGTGAGGTCTGTCAGCTTAAGCGGGTGGCGCTTGTCGAGTAACCGACATGCAGCAGTGAGCGAGAGGAAAAGTAGTAGACCGCGGCACCAATTTTGTAGCCACAGCACAGCGTCTTCCCTATGGCATAGTATAGCGCAAGTATTATGTGCCATGTTCCCTAATTCATCTAAATCCTACAGAGTAGCGAAAGCGTTCCGTTCTTGGGGCTAAAATGTCAACAGTAAGCATAGGATGGGCCAAACCGACCAAAATTTAGCCAACGAAGCAGTATCCAATGTTGTCCAATATTTCATAATCAACACGTTCATTTCGGTTTGGCAAATTCACTTAGTGGAAAACGGTGACAAATGCGAAGTTCTAGCTGTGAAATAAGACGCTCATTCGTGACTTTGGATCTTAAAGAGAGGTCTACCTCTTTATAGTTCCTATTGTCTTGCTATATACATACTATCATACTATGTCATACTACTGCAAATTCTTTCTAAAACAGAGAGTTTTTCACCGTGATTCAGAGCTGTTCAGCGGATTTTCAAGGTACGATTAACCGAGGAGGAATTCGTAGGACGAATATAGGAAATGCGGTTGAAGNAAAATAGACCGGAACAACTGTCAATCACGTGATATACAGGTGGCAGTCCCCTGTCACCGACGAAATGGAGAGAACACTAACATACGACTAAATGAACGACAGAGAATTGCTGGCACCAGCACGTAAATGATAATCACGCTACCATAGGATGATTATTCATTAAGCCTCACAATTATGAACCGTGAATTAAGCATGTAAGCCAACATGTTCTTTAATAATAATGAAGTATTACAACCTTTAATTGAACTTAAGCCTTCAATGGAGGGAAGTATTACTGGTTTTCGTTAAGTTTCAAACTTATCCTACAGAGCTGGATGTCAGGGCGTTTTACGTTGTTAAAGTACTTCTGATGTAAGTGGTAAGTAGGTTCAAACTCCTACACTGAGTACATAAATAAGCCCATCATTCTGTTTGACAGAAGCTGATGGTGCAAAAACCACAAGGTTGTGGTTTATTATTGCGAAGTCCCACTCTATCTCATTTGACTTTCTATATTGCGGTCAACACAAAAGGCTGCGGCGAAGACCAACATAAGTGACAAACTCTTCCTGTGAGGCGCTAGCATAATAAATGCCAATTTTCACTGGTGAATCCGCTTTACAGGAAACATCGTACTTGTGAGGATCCTTAGCCGGGTATCAAGCCATATAAAACGTCTTCATTATTGGTCGTGCTGATTGTTCATAATGGACCAATATCCTTCGTAGTAGACGAATACAGCCGTATTCTCCAGTTGCTAATATGAGTACCCATCAACTGTTGAAGATTGAATCGTTGAAAAACACAGAAGTACACCTAGGTAGTATCGAGTTTCCGGGACATCTACTGACAAACAGAACTCCAAGACGCCTAGCAAAATCAGAAGGAAATCCGCCTCTACATTGCTCGGATGCGGTTCTTGATGTAATACCCTAAACCTATACCTTGTTTCGTTGTAGTGAGGTCTGTCAGCTTAAGCGGGTGGCGCTTGTCGAGTAACCGACATGCAGCAGTGAGCGAGAGGAAAAGTAGTAGACCGCGGCACCAATTTTGTACCATGTGCACAGCGTCTTCCCTATGGCATAGTATAGCGCAAGTATTATGTGCCATGTTCCCTAATTCATCTAAATCCTACAGAGTAGCACACAGAAAGCGTTCTTGGGGCTAAAATGTCAACAGTAAGCATAGGATGGGCCAAACCGACCAAAATTTCGCCAACGAAGCAGTATCCAATGTTGTCCAATATTTCATAATCAACACGTTCATTTCGGTTTGGCAAATTCACTTAGTGGAAAACGGTGACAAATGCGAAGTGCTAGCTGTGAAATAAAACGCTCATTCGTGACTTTGGATCTTAAAGAGAGGTCTACCTCTTTATAGTTCCTATTGTCTTGCTATATACATACTATCATACTATTTCATACTACTGCAAATTCTTTCTAAAACAGAGAGTTTTTCACCGTGATTCAGAGCTGTTCAGCGGATTTTCAAGGTACGATTAACCGAGGAGGAATTCGTAGGACGAATATAGGAAATGCGGTTGAAGGCTTTTGAAAATAACATTCTAATTCCATTGTTGTCTCCACATAACATACTACCTATAAGTTTGCTGAGAATCCTCGGGCAGTTTCTCTCCTTTGGGAACCATCAAATAGGAGCCGTCCAAAATCGTCCGCAAACTTGATGCTCTACTTTAAAACCAAATCGAAACTAGGTGGTGAATCACGTTGGCGTTCGCGGAAGACTCAAGTGAGTCTCAACTGAATTTTTGTTTGGTGTTCAGCATAGGTATAATGGTGCTGGAACTTCGGATTTCAGGTCTACCCGTTGAGCCCGGAGAAGGGCAAAATCCGTCGTGTGATATTCGGATGTTTCTAGCAATCATATAAACATTGCTTTATATCAAGAACATGTATACTGATACCCCAAACGTGCACCAAATAAGACATGTGGCTCTCCTTCTACATTACATTCAGAATGCCGCAGACAATCGATTTAGCTGGGATTGATTTGGACCTCCCTTAACTTAAGTGGTTGTATTTCACCAGCTGCCGAATTGTGTATCGTTCTATTAATGCATTGAAAGATGATAAACTGCTGATGTTTTTACGGAAAACGGCCAGCCGATAATTTTTGTTCCAAATGTGTCATATCAGTATAGAACTAAGTTTTAGACACTTGTTTAGTTGGTTATTGCATATGAAGTTTGCCATACTTTGGGAGTGACAGTGAGGGATACAAATCCATACATGGCTGTCCAGGATATCATGTCCATTGCGTGTGGCTCAGATATACTTTCTCGCAGGCAGCCTGATAAGTTACACGTCAGCAAATTGAATGCATGGGTCAAATAAGTTTGACCAACAGTTCAAGCATTTTCGTTAGATGAACTGGTCAACGAAAAGCCGATATCTTTGCTTTTCCCTGCAACCCACATTTAGTCTCCACTAATGCCGAAATTTACATCGAAGTCCTATGTAAATTTATGATCCGTGTTCAGGTAAAAATATTTGTTGAAAGGCTCAATAAACTACTAATTCACCGTTATCCACGCTAGACCCAGCCGACTCAGTAGCGAAATAAACCTGCGGTTGGTATCAGCCGTCACACTGGAGTGAACCCCTCCGAATTTAATGTGCTTTGTTAAATGCTTCTCATTTTTACTATGCTTAAAACATAATAGCTGTTTAAGTGTGAATGGTCAATCCACTTTGTTTGTCACAGACATGTTCGTCCATCTCATTCTCTTGAACTCTTCCAAGAAGCGCTACCTCTTACGGGTGGAAGCGCCGTGTGCCTCAACAGGAGTCAGCCAGTCCCCGCTGAACATACTGCAAAAGTGTCAAATAATTAGTTGAAACACAACACTTGCATACGGTTTCATGTGGTCACGATACAATAAATGGTTTGCACGAGCATGGTGGAGAAGCCTCGGGTGAATGTTCACCTTTTAAGATACGAACTTTCATACTATGTGAGCCAGGTAATGCACCGTAGACGCGGATTAATAATATTGGCAAGCAAACACACAGTGACCCGTTGAGGGCCTCAGCGAGTCCAGGCGCGATGAAACTGCAGTAAAGTACTACTTATTTATATGAAATTCAACATTTTCTGCGCAAAACTACACAGCCGAAATCTTCTCAAAACAAGGTAATTTGGTTGCAATGGGTAAATATTAGACATTGTTACAGCCAATGATGGAATGCTGCACAACAAAGGCCCCAAAGCCAAAAAGAAGGATGAAAGTTATGAACGATACAATGGGGGAGTTACCATAACCAAGTACTGCTTATTAGTTGATAATGAGACCATCTTACTGCCAACACTCAGTCGCAAAATATTTCATTCATAAGCGGCGAAAAAAGTAAGCGTTCGAAGTAAGTCTGCTTTTTATTGGCTTCCAAGGAGCTTACTTACCTAGAGCTGATAACTTCGGCCCAATTTGACCAACGAGGATGCACGTCAGTCAAGCTGCCATTCTTGTCCAATATAACCAATTTATATTTTTTGGTTGAATCGCATTGGCTTGTGGATGAAAGTCTTGGTCTAACCCGTACAGGAACGGGACTGTTTGGCAAAACAATTGGAATTATATCCGCTACGGAAGGAATAATTTGAAATTTGGAATTCTCTAACTGACGGACGTTGAGCTCTGTCATTACTGACCCGTACCATGCGTGTTCTAGGTCGCTACGCCGGCCAACTCCACTAAGCACCCCGAGAGTTAAACCAAATCTAGAGTTCTAAAGCGGTAAAAGGAAGAAAATTCCAAATCATCAGGACAAAAATAAATAACTATACAATGCACAGTAATATATATGTATTTTCCCTACTGATTTGGTAAGCACTTTGAAGATTTTATGGAGTATCTGTTTAGACAAAAAACCCTTGAATTGTCTTCGAGCTGCTAATCGAGTTGGTCCATACGGGTTTTGTTCGAGACACGTTTCTTAAAGTATAACATCTTGGTACAGCCTGCAGAAGATGATCTACCTTGGGTTAGAATGAACAAGCTAACGTCTTTGTAGCAAAGTCCATACCAGACCTCCCAACGGCTGTGTAGATTCCTTTCATAGTACGACGAGTATCCAAGTCGTTCCGCGAAACTCTTAGATCGGGAAAGTTGGTATAACTTTTTAAAATTTTGACAAATCATTGTTAATGTTGCCACCACTAGCGACGTAAAAATTGGGGCAAAAAACCAAAAAAATATCCGAGTTTTCATGATCTAAGATTAGTTTGTTCACATCACCAAATTCAAGTGGGTCTGAAAGGCGAAAGACACACTCTGCCATGCAAATTCAGTTTCAAAGTAGCTTGAGATGTTTGGCAAGAGACATACAGCTGTTTGGTGGCTTTTTTCAAATGTTTTCTGTAAAAAAATTGGAGAGAGAAGTGGTAAATTGGAATAATCTTATTTCACTGCACTGCAGAAAAATGGTGGAAGGAATCCGTTGCCTTAAGTTGCTTCACTGCTTGATTTTACAACTCCTTTACAACGGTGTTAATTTTTTCAGACAGTCCACTTGTCTTAAGTAAACTGACCAACTGGAAAAAGTATGGCCAAAATAAACTCATATCTTCAAGGCTATCACTCATTCTGTCAACAAACTAACAACAGACATGAAACAACCATGTTCCCTTCGTTTGATGGCAAGAAATGCGTGATTATTTTGGAATAAACTGTGGGAAATCTATGCTATAACTGCTAAGAAGTAACCAGTATCTGGATATTTCGAAAACCTGACACTCTACATCGCAGCTTTCCAGCCGTTGGAAATTTTTTCAAATATTAACCATTATTCTATTATCTAGTTTTTGAAATATAATTTGCTTCTAATCTTAAAGTCCAATGAAGTGCGGACCTTATTTCACCTCAAAGGCTGTACTTCTTCCTTGAGTGCAAAAGTACCATAAGTAGGGTGGGCTGCTTCCCTAAAAATACTCTGCACACGCAAATGTAAGACAATCAAACTAAACATCACAGGAACTTCAAGCAAAAAAGAGATCTTTTTCTCAGACTGAAAAAATTGGTGAAAAGCCAGGTACAATATATAGTGGATTCAGCCTTCCTGTTCAAAAGTGTGGTGTATTAGTTTAGATACATAATATTCAGCTTACCAAGCAGTATCAGACTATACAAAAATAAACTAGAAAAGTGTTTCAAGGACGTTGCTTTGTTCAGGCCATCTCCAAGTAAATACAGACGTCAAAACAATCACCTGGAAAAAAGACTTTGTGTTTGCTCCCCAAGCTAAACGATTCCAGACGAGATCATTTATTCAGTATTTCCTCTGCCTAGAGAACCCTCAAACGACGTTATGCCTGCCTTTTGCATACGCAAGTAAGTTATTTTTAAATCTGCTGAAATTATTGGAATGAACCTTAATTCAGAGTGTTAAACAGACACTGGTCTATTCTCTACTGTGTTCTTTGTACAACCTGCTAAGCTAACATTAGGTCGCAAGGCGCCAGAGAGGATTACTAAGTAGATAGTTGGGTGTTAATATACAGGACCAGACCACTAAGGAAGATACTAAGTTATGACAACGAGCTTTACCGAGTAGAAGCACTAGCAGCATCGCTGCGAAATCGTACTACTTCTGCATCTAAAACAATGATTTTTATATTCATCCAACTGTTTTATCAACCGACTTTATGAAAGTGTTCTCGGCTTTTATTTACAACGGAAAATACCTGCTCACTAGCAACAGTTTGTCGGACGAACCAGATCACCACATTTTAATGAATGAGAGAGACACTAAATGGCGTCTCAAAAGGTGTTTCTGAACGAAATCCGTCTTCACACAGACAAAATTATGCTGGAATATCTGTGTTTTGTATCGAATATATAAGTGGTATAGCTGACACCGTTAATTCCGGTGCTAATGTAGATTTAATGCTCCAAGTTGGCATATTCTTCACTCAGCTTGATTCCAAGAAAAGAGGTGTCAGGTTCTTCCACATCTGTGGGTATCTTTACGCGAATAGGAAAATCAGCTATCCAGACGGATAATGTTAGATGCACACCTTTTAGTCATTCAGTTTTAGTTACCTGCGCAGGTATACCGGGACTGGTTGCAACTCAAACGGTGTATTAATTTGGCATCATTTCCAAACCCCAAAAGCCTACCCCACAACCTGATATCAGAAATCTAAGCTATTGAAGCAACTTCTCTTAGCTCATGTTGTATGAAGGATCGCTGCCCAATTTTCTGAGTCTGGCGAAAGATAACTTACAACGGTGCACTCTTAGGTATCTGAAGCTAAGCCGAACAAAAATTTAAGTTTTTTATTTGTTTATACGCTTCTTAGTTGTGGATAAGCCGTTAATTCAAACACTGTTAGGATCACCCAATAAAAAATTCACTGAACTATAAATATTTATATACATCACCAGTGCCGAAATGCTCAAGATCAGCTCAGGTAGCTGAGCCATCACTGTTCTTCAATATGATGACGCCACAAGATCTGTGAATTCCACGTCTGGTTTTGACAGGAACAACCTTCATGGTAGTGAAGAGATTGGATTATTTTCAATAGAGGTATCGTCTTATCAGTAAAGCAAATCTATGCTGAGAAGCCGAGAAGTGCCGTAGAACTGTTGCATCCCTGCTGAGAATCATCATAAGCGTGCATCTCACGAAACTCAGAGAGCTACAAGCCGGCAAACTTCCTGCCAGTAGTTGAACATATAACGACTTGGCCAGGGATGTCTGATCGGCAGTAGGAGTCCCTTCCATGCTGATGAAATGAAATAGCAAACCAGATTGCTGATCAGCCATCCGTGGTCACACTGTTAGATGTTCAACCACTGGCTGTATGTCACGGGTTTGTAATCCTCTTAGGTGCGCACCACTGATTGCTTCCAACAAGGATGGAGCTGTTGTATATTGCTCCTCGGATTTTCAAGATAGTTTGGCTGCGTAAGAAAACGAATGAAAATAAACAGCTTTGTTTGAGAGAAGTAGCCAATTTAACTATTCATATTCCCTTGCTTCCGGCAACAAGGATGGATGCAAGTTTCTGGGTCATTGGATTTCTTCTTATTCAAAAACTACCGGATTTTTTTAGCTATGACGTACCTCCCACTTTCCACCCTCTTATTTTTTCGCTCACCAAATTTTTGAATCAAATAGACATTTTCCGCAAATTCCATATTAGAAGAAACTTTTGGACCCTCATACAGTATTCCGCATTTCAAAAAAGCAATTCAGAAAAACCTAAAAATGTTACGATTGAAGTGTTCTCCTTCAAAGGTCGACTAATGAAGGCAATAATGCACGAGTTGAAGTGACATGTCGAACTTCACCTTACCAGAGAGACAAAAACCAGTTCCTCGAAGGAAGATGGAGCTTTTTATTTCATCTAAAATGAATGTTCGAATACTCGGTACTTTATAATCTACGAAACCGACGAAGTCTGGCAAAAAATGGTGAATCCGCATTTTGTTTATTATCATCCTCCACCGCAATATTAAGAACTAGCGTTTTTTTCTAGCTCGCGAAACTCTATAGACTACCATCTGCCATAAACTTCCATCAATATTGTGTGCTTTCATATGACGACGGAACCAGATAATTATATTGAGCTTCCTCATTGTTGGGTTGTCGTGTATTTTCTCCATTTTGCCAGTCATCCGTGTTGCCTCCATTCGGTACCGCAAGTAAAAACATTTCAATAAATACTACCCTGTTCTGATCTAACTCTAGTCCAAGTAAGCGGACAGAGTTCACTGAAGTTTCGGTTTGGTGAACCAGCTGTTTGTTACATGCTCGGCCTAAAGTCAGTGCCCGCCAGCAAATGATGATCAACGACAAAAGGTATTTGGTGATACTAGAAATTGTATCTTACTGAGTTCTGGGAGATATTTCACAATGGACCACAAGAATATTCCTACGTCTTTTACAAACACTGAGACAACTTTTGGACAGGGTACACGTTCTCAATAGGCAGATTGAATCTTAAAGTACATTACTTACGTCTAGGGATTTTTGGGATGTTTTATTACTAGCAATAAATTACTTCTTGATATTTCTTTGCCTATATTGACAATGCCACGTCATTAGCCAAGATAATGAAAGAAATCAAGAACATGAACATTTATGGAAACAGCTTTAAGACCAACCATAAGTTCACAATTCCCTTCTTCAAGAAGTGATAGAAGACGTTGCGTTTAGCAACTTCACGTTACCTGAGACCACATGATAGTACATTATTTTCTTGGTTCATGTTTTCTTTGACTTGTAGTAAATATGGCTGTCACTAGAAAACGAATTCCATCGATCACCTGGTAGTTTCTGTAACAATGTTTGTTAAGCAAACAAAAATATGTCTGCCTAATGTTGTCCCTCTGCTGACTGGATAATTGATAAACCAAGAAAGTGCAATAGAGGGGAAGAATAACATACAAGAATATGGTTAAATAAGGCTTTTGGTGGTAATCTTCTTACCTTAATCCACTCACACAGCCTTCACGAATTATGTGAAGTTAGAGAGAAACGTACCGTCCCTGAATTCTAGCTAACAAGTATGCTGGTCAGTATCGTCACGTATATTGGCTAAATTGGTAGTTGGTCAGGTGGATGCTAAATAAGGTGGCTAAATTTATAGATCTTTCGCTTACTCAAACTCTTCCACAATTTCTCACCATTAGAGAACAGCGTAATGAAATATTTGTTTACTCTTCCTTGCTAAGGGGTAAGCTCCTAATTCCTGGTACGAAGAAACAGATAGGTATGAGAGCACCCTAAATACTGTGGGTAATGTTTCTGCTGCGAAGAATCAAGTTTCAAGCGGTAGCATGTGCGTTGAGTAAAACTTCAACTGAAGTGTGATTTCAACAACCATAAAAGGGTTGCATTCAGCATAACTGCTGCACTACGTTACCATCAAGTGGGATAAATTGCGCTTTCTTAGGCGATGTGACACACATTAAGGAAACATGAAAATTTTCATGGTACTCTAAAACTAAGACCAGCATCAGCGATGTCATTTATGTAGCTTAATGGATGAAGCAAAATGATTAAGTTTCCCTCTTTGTTTCTTTTTTTTCGGTTTGTATTTGTACCCATAATCTAATAAAAACAAACTTCAGTTTGGAAATAGGTTTGGAAGCTTACCTTGGCAAATTTCACATCCGTTGGAGTATCACCAACCATCACGACCTCATTTGGCTCTACGCTGAGTTTATCGCAGATAAGTAACCCGTTGTGGGGATCTGGCTTCGGATGAGTTTGTTCGTCATCGCCGCATATAACCAAGTCAACCAAATGGAGAATTCCTAAATTATTCAGTGCTTGTATTGTCGCTAAAATGTCGGTCGAGGCAAAAAAGCAGGCAGACTGTAGGCAAGAAAATTGCAGACACAAGACTGAAATTCCGATTTGAAGCACACATGTGTAGGAAGAACAAATTTTTTGTAAGTACAATGGTGAAGATATGCCAGAGATCCTGAAATTTGGCCTTCAACCTCATGCAGATCAGTGTCATTAAAAATCAAGAAAGTTACTACAGAACTGGCGGTCAAATCATAAAGTGATCAAAATAGACCCGAAACTTGAAATTCACGACTCCGTGCCACGAAGTGCTCTTTCATGAAACAGATATTCAAAGCAATTTACATATACTGGATCCCTATTTGCACTGATACTGACCTATGTATTTGACGGCCGATTCTGCTAAATAAGCAAACCCGTGTTCTTTGTGGAGATTTCGTCCTGTCAGTGAAGCCACTCTATGCTGAAAATCCGAGAACCTCTGTACAGCTGTTTCATCCTTATTGGGAATCACCAGCAGTGCGCATCTCACAGAACCCCGGAGAGTCTCGAACCCGCGACCTTCTGGCTAGTAGTTTAAACACTTGACCATTCGGCCACAAGCGGCTGATCAGCAGTGTGATTAACTTGCACTTAGACAGGATATAGCGCCGCTCATCCTTCAATCACGGGATCCACATTACGCGGTCACACGTGTTGACTGGCTCCTCGAGCAACGACTTCTCAGAGGAAGTTTCACTCATCAGGTGAAGTTTATTCTTTCACTGAGCTGCTTATAGATTGTTGGTAGTGTGGGGACATTTGGGATTTTTATGAAGACTCGGCTGGAGACTCTCCGGGGTTTCATGAGATGCGCACTGCTGATGGTTCTCAATAAGGAGGAAACAGCTGTACAGTGCTTCTCGGCTTTTTAGCATAGATTGGCTTCACTGACAGGACGAAATCTCCACAAAAATCCCAAATCTCCTCACACTACCAACAATCCCGTGTTCTGTTTATATTGCAGCGAGTCATAAGAGTCATCAGATGCCTCCAATTCTTAAAGCTGAAATATGTATTGTTTTGGTCAAGATGGAAGTTCATGACAAGACGTCGCTTGACTTATGTAAGGCTCTCAGGTTTATAAAATTAAGGTGACTGAGAAAATAATGAAGCTGCAGGAATCTTTATTTGTTTGTTTTCTCAAGTTTATTTTGCATCCCACAGAGCCGCTGCTGACTGTCCATGAGTTGTATGACACTATCTTAATGATGAAGGTGTTCTCTCGCTGAATTATTTCTAGTGATCAACAAGTAGAAAGCACATGTAGCTAAATTATTCTTCATAATTTTCCCGTTTTTAAAAAGCGCCTACTGCAATAAAAACTAGATTGTTCCCGCTGGAGGTAAAAATGCAAACAGAGAAAGGATCGAGCTCGAATGGGCTGGACTGAACTGGGCTGGGTCTATAACGTTAAAAAAGATCGCTAATCCCTTGGTCTACTTAGTGGACTTCCGAGAGGAAGGGTGTATTACCTACAAATTACATCTAGTGCTTGCTAAACATTTCGGAGTATCGTGGTTCGGGAAGGTTTCAAACCAATAAGATAACTTGGAAGATTGCTTTGAAACTTGGGCGCCAACACAGCTTTTTCCAAAAATAACGGAAAAATTCACAAATTAATAAAGTGACACATAAAACTAGATGTTTGGTTGATCACCTCAAGGTGTCCAAAAAGGGCCCCCTGAATAATCACAATTATGAAACCTGATTTGAAGTTATGCATCCTACCTTTGAGAAGTATCGTTTGGATATCCATGGGAACTTATACAAGCTCTGTGTTACTATAGATGTACAGACTCCACCTCGTGAGGTCTATTAAAAATGTCTAGATGTTCTAGTAAACAGTAAGACCCACAATAAGGTTCATATTGCCTTTGTAAACATTTTGGTTGTCACGATGAGTTGATGGTTATTATGATAGATTTACATATTTTTATACGGAAAAGTTGCACTGATCTAGCGAAGTGCACTGATTTGTGTACTAGATTGGTCTTCACGAGAGGCTAACCAGAAACCCAGCTTAGTCTCTCGTTTATCATGTATTTATTCAACTGACCATGCTGCACAGAGGTAGAATACTCAAAATATTGTGATACATGCACAAACGTAATACAACACTCATAAGATTGCTGAAAAGTCTTTGAGAGCCCACAACCGATTTCACTATTCTTGGGGTTCAACAGATAAAGTTCAATAGGTTCAATCAACCCCATATCCTAATTAAACAAAGAGTGCACTAAATTAGCGAAATTCGTTCAGTTGCATCAGCTTAGTTCCAATTTAGTCTCCCGTCAAAATCAGATCGGTGTGAAAATGAGTGTATTTCGCTAAGTTCATGTAATTCGCGTTCAAGTAGTAGGCAAGGTTGATGGAAGCTCGGAAATGCGCCTACACAGTGAGCCTCAAGAAGGGCTTTGCATGCATTTATTGTTGAAGTACACTGCTTTTCTCGGTATGGAAAATCTTAGCATTTGGGTGGTTCCATAAAAGTAATATAAGATAACTGATTTTACGGGTGTGGCAATACAAGCATACGGTGTGGTTTGTCTGTAACATGCTCACTAAACATTTCTGATAATATGACGACAGATGCAAAATTATATTCCCTTGATAACACAAACCAAATTTTAACGCTCGTAGTGATGTAAAGGTCAATGTGAATATCCTACTTACGCTCCCGGCTATCAGACGTACAGACAGCAACTCGAATGTCATGCTGACGCAAAACTGTGAACAGCTGAGGAAGATCCTCCAGTTGGTTCACGTGTTGAGTTTGTGGAATACAGCGGTTGATGTGGTGTGCCGAAATTTCATGAGCATCTGCTCTCGAAATATTTTTTCTGGTTAAGATCCCAGTAATTGCTTCACAGATTTGTGACTTTGTTCCTTCAGCAAGAAGACCTGAAAATGAGTCACATATTTTAAAAACAACAAACCAGGCTGGATTCTTGAGGTTTTAGAGCATACACCTAATACTGTGAAGATTTCTTCTTGAACATCCAGTTTCACGGCGGCCGAAATCCTTCAAACTTCACTTCACAAAACACAAATTACCTCGTTGCAACTTGCTTGGCCCAAGGTACCCACATTGAATCAAAACATATTAGGGTTCCATCTTTATCAAATACTACGGCTTTGTATACCGGCCTCTTCGTAGAGGGGAACTTTCTGTATCTGATCTCAAAAATCAGCTCATTTTCCATAAACTTCTCACGAAGGTTATCTGTCGGCCCGTAGTTTGGTGTATTCGTTTCTGAGTTTAGTGGCCCGCCTTTAATTGTAGTTGAATACAATCTCGTAACTATGTAGCAGAGAATATTTTTCTTATTATAGCTGCTTGCCCAACAGAGCGTTTTCTCCAAACCCATCATGATAAATTATGATGACAGTTGAAAATGTGCATTTTCAAGGCCACGCCTAACTTGGGCTTCCACTCAGTTTGCACACAACTGTGATTCACTAGGCTGCACATGGTTATTTAGGTACTATCGGGTTCAGACTGCATCAGCATAAAGGAAATCTCTGATATTTTGGGGAATCATGTGGACAGTTTTTGGGAGTTTCAAGGAGGTCACGCTGGGAACCCTCAAAAGGCCCATTGCTCACAAGCAACACATAAAGACAGTCAACAAATTGGATTGATAGGGTCCCCGACGGGTTAGTGACGTACATAGTGAATGGAACGAGGCCTGGCAATGTAAATCGCAGGCGCATCTTGTCGTATAAAAAGTCTATTAGAGTTTCTCAGTTTCTCTTATTCGTGTAAAACGCCCTCAGGAAGCGAAAAACACTGCAAGAGCTCCCGCGGCTTTCTCAGCGTGTCGCAACAACATTGTTTTCCATTTCTAATGTTTTGGCAGAACCGTGCGTGAACGCCCGGTGGGGTTGTTGAAGGTGTGCAAAATAGATTACTAATATTATTCTTATTAGGCTTATTTCTCGTTTTTAGGGTGCATACGAACTGGGGTGTGTTCAGGTCCCCACAATCTGAATACGCCGGGGGAACAAAACCAAAAAGACATAATCAGCACACGATAAGTAACCTTATATTGCGAAAAATAAGATAAAAAGTACAATGGGCATGAGGTGGGACCAGGTCTGTGTTGAAGCACACTGACAAACCATAACTGAAGGTCGTTGCTCATCAAGAATTACCTTGGACGATTATATTTATGGCTAATGGCTCCAATGGAGATAAGGAGGTGGATGAATTCATAATGGGCACGATTGGCAAGTTTCGTCTCACAAGTCAAACTGAATAGACTCATTGGTCTCGCTGTTAGAATGTTGGAAGGTTTAGAAGCTATTCTGGGAAGAGGCGGTACTTATGCATAGGGATGAAATCGTCAAAAGTGTTGCTGTTGTTGTAGCGAAAACATAAATGGTTAGATTTGAACTTAGGGCTCAACGTATTAAAACAAACTCGTCCTAGGTGCAATAAAGGCCAAATAGACAATTTTTCATAGTTGCAAGTAACACTAAACCGGGCGAGAGGAGACGGTTGGAAGTAGGAATATATTAGCTGCGGGTGCGCCATTGGACCGATTGTGGCGGTTGCATGCTGTCATCGCGCCGATATAATTCCATTTCTGGATAGCCCCACAACGGAAGTCAAGGGGGAGTTTGCATCCCTTTCGTAGCTGAATCTGGATTGAACAAGGGGTTTTCACAGGTAGTATTAGGCCGATTGAGAACCGCAGGCAACTTTCGTTCAGTTGGAGGTCAGTGTGGATATAAAATTGGGACAAGGCTCATAGGCGACAGACAAAGGCGGTATTCCAGGCAGTTGCTGTAAAAAAATGAAGCATGGGAATAGAAGGAAGTGAGACTGTATATCACGAATATGTTGATTACGAAACCGGCCCTGTTTGGATAAGTAACTTGTACATTATTCGAATCTCTAGTTAGGGTTTGTCAAAAATTTTCTTCATAATTTTACGATGCTAACGAATGGATATCTGACAGGTCCACGATCGTTCTCCCCTTTATCTTTGTGTATTAATTTCTCTACATTCGGGGTAACATAAGACATCAAGAGGGGTAGCATAAAGCACATGAGGTGGCTTCGGGCCGGGATTGGGCAAAGGTGCGTCCCCCGACAACACAAGGATGTACGTCATCTGGCCTCGATAAGTACCAAGGAGCGTTGAGTAACATACGGCTTACAATTACTGTAGGGATAGGGGACACTTACTTGATCATGATGTGGATGGGATATGATTGACGAGATCACAATGTAGAGATTATAATGGGGTTAAACAAATTTCTTCATGGGCACTAGCGAGGTCTAAGCCACGAGTTATCCTACGCCGTCAATAATGCGTAGGATCTACGAAGTACGACTGCGTTCTAATACGCTACCTAGTTGTGGGCACAAACATAAAAAGCAACCATCTTTCCCAAGTTATCATCGACTCAAAGTACGGCAGACATGTTCTACAGAACGGCGTAGACCGTCTTTGACCGGGAACGCATTTAATTGGGAAACCTCATCCAACTGGGGTTAGGCTAAACTTGGTACATTTCCGCACGATATCAGCGGGAATGTGACCTGGTGGTAGAATGTGATTGGAAGGGCCAGTTATCTAGATGCGTTTCTGAAAAACACATTCACCTCAGAACAAGTGAGCAGTACGAGCGCAATGTGCCCGTGAAAAATAATGCCAACCTTCACCTTTCCAATGTGGCTCAAACAGAAAAAATCAGGTCCAAATAATTTATGATATCCTGTGGACGTTTGTCATTGCTCTCCAGTTAAAGGCAGTTGTTGCCACGAACTATCCCATCAGACGCTAAATGAAAGATGGGCTGTATAGCCAGATTATCTTTGTAAGTGCTCATTAATTTAAGGGCCCCTGCGAGGAAAGATATACAGGTGGAACTAGGGAAATGCTGCTTGAAAGGGGTTTCTAAACACACACAGCGACTTTATGTAAATACCACTGGTGCGTATTATCAGCCTAATTTCAGCTTATCTGCTCAATACAAAATAGTATCGGCTAACCGACTGACTTAGAAAGTTTCCAAGAGGTTGTATTTGGATTGCGGGTAATTAAAAGATCTTGTTTTCTTATCCAAGGGGGTTTGTGTCACAGATGAGAATGGCTATCGTCCCGAAGAAGCGAGAGGTATTAGTAATCTGGACACGAATACTTTATTTTTCGAGTGGAATTGTCCAACTTGAGACAGCCATCTTTGTAGGACTTTTATCAATAAAAAGAATAAACACTACTAGCCTTGGTCACAAAATGAAACTATTCCAGGACAGTTTTTTCTTAGCTAGGTCACGACTTTCACATTTGAATGTAGCTTCTAAAAATGACTGGGCTCAGGTTGCACACACAATTAATGACCGGCGAAGCGGGATAGGGACCAAGGTTAAGAAATTCCATGGCATTTACAGAATCGTAAGAGCATAATTATGCTATTGCTGAACAAATACCAGCTACCTCGAAACTCTGATTTTTCGAAAGAAAATGGTTATTGCATAAGCCAGTCGTGATTCCCGGTGGGATGTCCACTTTAGCTTTTCATATTAAAATGCTTATGTCAATAAAATGTTTGATATAAGGGATGATGTATTGAGCGTGTGGCAGACAGCTGACCATTTGTGGCGAAATAAATACAAAGTTATATCAGTATACGGTAAGATACAGCATGCATCATTCTTGACACTGACTTATACCTCAGTCTACCTATGAGTTTGTTTTATTTTTTCGCTGCGCGCCGCTGTACTGCCTCTCCTGATAGACTGCTTCTCTTCAAATTCAAGGCCAACAAATTGAATATACATACGGGTGATGATTAAAGTGACTGTTTTGGACTTGAAGGCTCCTTAAAGGGAGAAGGTCAACTTATTTCACAAGTATTTGCCAATTAGATAGCATATGATGTAGCGTGCAGATTTACAACAGTCTGTCAGGCGGGTCGCGTCATAAGTGTTGTGGTCGTGTCACTATTAAGCCATATTTCAAGCTAATTATCTTTTAAACTGTTACGTATTTTGACATACCAGTTTCTCGTATCGGCCGTATATGTGGTTATGGGTGATACCAGCATGTATACCTCAGTAACACCTCTCTCATCATATTCTGCATTCGACTAATTCTTAAAAGAATGAGGTCTTCTTCAGGTGCTTAATTGTTTGTTTCTCGAGTACTGTCAAAAATTACATATACCATACCAAATCTGTGCCACCGGGAACGATCCATTAATATAATCAGAATACAGCTTATTCGTAGTTCAACGTTTGGTGGACTATTCTTTGTTTCAAAACATTTCCGGGTCGAATTTGACCCTACGAGGTTTTCCAGTCAGTGCCGCTTTTGTGCCACAAGATGTAGCCGGTATTCTAAAAATTCATAGAAATGGTTGGTTACTTAAAAATAGACATGGTTCAGTACGCACAAGGTCTCTGCAAAAAACAAAGTTAGGCACAGTATGTACTGTTATCCCAGCGACAGTGAAAAATGGGTGGTACGTGAGCATGGAGAAAAGTTGTGAGGGGGAAATCGGACTCCGAGATGTTTGAACTAGTGTCACTAGGAAGTGTTTAAAATAAAACCTGGCCGTTTACACCGTACATTAATTATTTCGAAGATGGAATTACTTTGAAAATTCCAGGCTTTGTCCGTAGCTACTTATGGCGAAATGACGTTTATAGATCACGCTTGGGCAGACTGGGGGGAGTAACAGGCGTCTTCCAAATAAATATAAGTCAGGCCGTGAAAATGTGAATTTACTGGACCCGAAGAGTGCGGAATCCTCTGTTCGGACCTACTGGAACGGGAAAAGTGCTGATACTGCGTAGAGCCAGATGGTCATTATGGAGGTAATAGGTGAACTTAGGAGCATAGCGGGCCAACGGTTAATTTGGATTTTTCAGTGTAAATTTAGCAGACAACGGCTATCTTGTGCGTAAAATTAGCATGCTTGTCGTGGAAGTGGCAGAGATTTGATGAAATGCCAACAGGCTAGCTGTCTGTTGTTTGTAATACCGTTGTCGCAATGTTGCACGTCTGTTCATAGATGGCCCTGCACAGCAAACGTTTTGAGCACGGCATCTGAAATCATTCGTCCAGGGCGTCGTTCAAGATCGAGACGAACGCGAGGAGTCAGTGTTCATGAATCCACTGAGGGCCCATTGTGGGGTTGAGCAGTGCTGCTGCCAACCTGATAGGGTGATTGTGATGGAAACTCACGACGGAGTTAGTTGAAAAGAAAGTTGGAAAGCCCTGGGTTCATCAAATAAACCACAGGTCAATACAACAGGCTATTGGTGAAAGTAAGAAGGAATTCATCGCGGAGTTTTTTATTAGAAAACATCAACTGAACATTCGCAGACTATTGAGTAGGAAAGCAAAACTCATATGATTCTTGTTTATAAAAACTGAATGCCCGT